TAATTTGGTAGGAAGTGCGCACACCCTTCTCTATATCAATTAAAACTAACTTTTATTAAACTTATATTAATGTATTACTAGCTTATCAAAACTAAAATAAAATTTTATGAATAGAGCATTTCATATGGTTAGAATATCGTACTTAATAAAAGTTACATTTTGTATCCAAACTAAGACATTACTTCATAAATCAAAATCTGTTTACTACTTTATTTTTTAAATCTCATCTGACCTAATTTTCACTATTAAACTTTAGTTCTACATCTTTTTGCTTGTACCATACTTTTTTAGGATAAAATTTAACATTAAACTTCTTTGCAAACTACCAAATTATCATTTATATATTAGAATGTAATTATATATTATACAATAACGTATTTAATATTATAAAAATATTTTCTCATAGGCTTAAAAATACTTCTAGGCCACATGATATGTCAAAAGTCAATATTTTAAATTCCTAATATCCATACTATGTACTAAATGTACATAATTCACTTGACTTGTCACTTAGATGTTTCTAGTAAAAATATTCTTTAAAAACTAAAACTGTAAAAGAAAATGTTGTTCTCATTTTTTTTTATTTCTTCTACTGTGTGGATTAAACGATAATTTTTTAATATACTTCTTTATGTCAGTTTGATCCAATAATATTCTTAAACTACCATCAGCTTTTTCAATAATAACTATATTACTAGCAAATAACTTAAGATACTTAAATAATTTGATTTCCTTATTACAAAAATTTAAACATTTTTTCTAACTTTTTAAAAATAAATTGAAGTTTTCTATGGGATGGCTTAACTGTATATTTGTAATATGGCATTAACCTAGTGTACTCTATACCAAACTAACATACACATTGAAATATACTCTCATTATCTTTAATAATTATCTAATAGCACTTATTCTTTTAATTAAATCTAACTTTATACAAACACCAAATTCCGACAATGGTTCAATTTTACAAAATTTTAAACACACTTTTTATTATTACTCATACATTTTAACACTACTCACATTTTTCTCACTAGCTGCTTTAATAATAAAGCTTCTATGTGTCTGTATTTTTATCTCAAATTTTAACATATCATAATTATCCTTAATTTATTTAAATACTTAAAGGTAAAATATTTATGTAGCTATTATCTATATAGTATCATTAACTTTATTATATCAATAAATATTATATTTAACAAATTTTAACTTGCAACAGTAAAATGACCCAACTTAATACATATCTTTCATATTTGATTGAAAGATGAACAATTCCTAGAATTATTATGTCGACTACATTTCTTATAGTCATATGTTGAAACAATATTGTCCTGTTATTAATATCTCTTTATTTGATTGGACTGATCACCACTTTTTGATCTATTAAGCTTAAAAACAAGTTTGTTGAATTTTTTAAATTATGTTCCTTTAGTAGCAGCACGAGTAATAGCATTGACTACTGTACTACTTAACTAAAAGTATGGTTCACTTTCAAACGTGATCACCAATTGGTTTTGTTTAGCAACTCTGTAGCACTCAATAGTCTGATCCTGTAATAATTTCAATTCTCTTAATAACCATTCATTAAGTATCTTGTCATTAATAATAAGAACAACCCTCACTATTCAAATATTATTATTCCATTCACCAAATTCACATTTTTTAACTTGCTTTTTTAAAACAATTAAGAAATTACCAAAATAATCACCTTCTTGTTAACTTTTATAAAGGAACTTGAATTGTTTTACAATCAAATTCTTTTGAAATTCGAAATATTTTTTAAGCTACTAAATATAGCGTAATATGGCTTATCTACCAACTTAAGCGTTATCAATCATGTCATTAGCATCATCCCCAATGAAAGTTTTAGTATTGCTGTTCTCATTTTATTGACTTATTAACCAAGTCATTAACTGACAAAAACAATTGACATATTCTTTGAAAATTCTAAAGTTTTCCATTAAAATACTTTGTATTTTCAGCAATTCTAGAGCTGGTAAAAGCATACCTCTAAACTGCACCATAGTATGTATGAAGTGTAGATGATTATTAATTAAAATTCATTAAAAATATTACAAATATAATATTTTAATATTGTAATAAAAGATTACACTGAATATATATATATATATATATATATGATAATGTACCATATTTAAGGTAGGAAGCCTATGCTTATACTGTAAAATTTTCACATTTTATGTCTACGATTGCATCTTAGAAGAGTCATTGCTTAACTTCTTCTTCTTCTTCTTTTTCCTCGCCTTAATTCCAACTACTTGGGGTCGGCCACCCTTATCCTAAACTTCCACTTGACACGATTTCCCACATCAGCTGTCCTCATATCGCATTCAATAACATTCCTCCATCTCTTCTTCGGTCTTCCTCTACCTCTTCTTCCTTCAATATCCATTTCTATAACTGTTCTTGCAGCTACCGATTCCTCTCTCCATATAACATGACCAAACCATCAAAGTCTATTTTTTTTCATCTTATCCACAATTGACGCTACATCTATACTACCTCTTATATGTTCGTTCCTTATCCTATCTTCTCTAGTCACTCCACTCGTCCATCTAAGCATTCTCATCTCTGCTACACTCGTTCTCTGCTCTACTTTCTTATCAACCGCCCAACACACTGAACCATACATCATAGCTGGTCTCACTACAGTCTTGTGAAATTTACCTTTCAACCTCATTGGAATTCTTTTATCACATAAGACACCTGACGCTTCTCTCCACTTCACCCACCTGCATTTAATCGTGTCTTACATCCTCGTCAATTCCACCGTTCTTTTGCACAACTAATCCTTAATACTTAAAACTTTTTACCTCTCCTATCCCGTCCTTGCCTATTCTCACTGATCTCCTCATTTCACCTACCTGTAAACCCAACCATTTATACTCCATCCAATCTTCTCTACTTTTGTTCTTCTACCATAATTTGAATCGATTTTTCTTACTTTCTATGATTTTTTGAATGTCCTCATTCCACCACCAGTTTTCCTTGTTTCCTAGCATTCTACCCCTACTCTCACTAACAATCTCCTTTGCAGTATTCTTTACACAACTATCAAATCTATTCCACACATCATTTATGTCTCTCTTGACATTCCACGCCGACCTCTCTTTGACCGTCTTTACAAACTCTTTTTCATTTTTCCCTTTCAATTTGCACCACCGGATCTTCGATTTTTCTCCCGTGTTCCTTCTGTTTTTATATATTCTCTTCCCAGTATACCACAACTCCATTACCATCAGTCTGTGTTGTGTAGTTATACTCTCGGCTGGTATAACTTAATAATCTTTTACTCGCTTTACACTCTCTCTCTCTTCCACATAAAATAATCAATGTCAAAAAAATAATAATAATAAAATAAATAAGTAATATTTATGAGAGCTTATGTCTTAAATTAAAATTCCTATTGCCATCATTCCAATGTATTTGAATAATTCTGAACTTAACGAGCAATGTGGACAAACTATAAATATTTTATGTCGATATTTTAGCTACAACTGTTATTTTTCTGTAACGAATTTTACAATTTTTTTTTAATAAAACTTATATTATTTCATATATATATAGATAGATGAGTCAAATACTGTCAAAAATTTAAAATTGCTAAAATTCCTTCGTTGACGTGTGTTAAATTTGATACAGTGCCTTTGATTGCATTATTGTAAATAAGGTGTCATCTGGAAAATCATTCACCATAAATACAGACTTGTGTGTTTTAGATAATTTTTACATATAATTTATCATAAAATTAATCCTTAGACATAAAAGTTTTATATATTTATTATTATGACTTCCCTATTTTTTTCAGAAAATATTTGTAATTTATTTTGTAATTATAGAAAATTAGAGTCAGAATATAAATCCACTTTGACTTAAGTACAAGTTTATAAATTCTAATTATGAAATTACTTCATATTTAAATTATTAATAAAATCATAAGTAGCCTGTAGGGCTAAGAAACAATAATTATGATATAATTATAATATTGATAACGTTAGGTTTGTTTGTTCGTACTTGACAGTTAATGACTTAAAAAAAAATCTGAACATTATCTATTTTTATCAAATTTTCGTTTTACAAAGTGTATTACACGTATTATTAAACTCTTTTTTCAGTATTTTCGTTTATTAAACAACCATACTGATTTTTTATCAAATATAATTTAGCATATACTTATGATCGGAACATATGTGATTAAAATTATTATTACATTAAAATTTTTATTATACGTACTCCTCAATTAAAAAAAACTCTTATTCATATTGAAGGTATATTTAATCCAATTACACTTATAGAATTTAAAGTAATGTTATTTGTGAATTAAAAAAATTATTTAAAATCTTAAATAATAATACGACTAAGAAAATATGTAAAATAATTAGTATTAAAACAAATATTAAATAATAATTTTAGTACTAGAGTATTTTTTATTCATAAATGATTAAAAGAGTGTCTCTTAAAATTTAGTAATTTAGATATTTACCATTTGATCTTTTGATCAAATCCTATACATTGGCACAAACAAATAATTTCTGATCTAGTAACTAAACTTAAGCTAAAGTATTACTCAATACAAAATAATAATTATCGTTTTAAATATTTTATGAGTATCAATAAATCGTGATTACAATTTATAGAAATTTCAATTTATATTTCTGATTTAGCTTATTATTATTGATTATCATTGAGATATCAATATGGTCGAAAACTACACTAAGCGATTAATGTAGAATCAAATAAAATCCAAATCTGATATTAAAAAAAAACCAAAATAAAAATAAAAAAAGTAGATATAAATAAAAACATTCTGTTAATTGGACTTCATGGCATTTGAAAATTAGTGTTCAGGTCATATGATTTTTAAATCTAAACTTTCAGCTTTCATCGATTTTATATTGTCGATTTAAATAAATAATTAAACACATATGCATTAAGTTAAATTATTATTACTATTAAGTAAATTATTATTTATTATATTTTAGTATGCAGATGGAGAATTCGTATTGATGGCACCGATCGGAAATAATGGTAACATTGTCCGTGTCTTTACAGATGCGCATCCTATGGACGCTGGTCATGGGCACACTTTTTGTGCTCCTAGTCCAGTACCAAACGTCAAGTGTGTGGCCGCAACAGCAGGCCCAGATGAACAGTCGTGTGGATCCATTTGCGGAAGACCTTGTTGCCATTGCACTTTCCAAGGTGGAAATAGGTGATGATACGACGGTGTCCAAGGAAATGTTATTGGGCATCACTCGACAAATCGCTAGATACGTGGTCTACAGTTCCGGTTGTTCCGTGTCGCCAATTAGCGGACCACCACCTATTACTTTATATATAATCACACCTACTTATAGACGACCAGAGCAAGTAGCCGATCTCACCAGAATGGCGCAAACTCTAATGCTGGTCCGAGACATACACTGGTTGGTCATAGAGGATGCAAAATCAAAGTCCCCACAACTGAATGCATTGCTTCAATCTTTTGGTATCAAATTTACTCATCTAATAGGTAACTAAAAAAATTATTAATAATGTTGTGATACCATTTGAAAATGATCGAAACGTGTTAGGAAACAATTTTTGACTTGTTAACAATAGTTGTTAACAATTTTTACGATTTAAAATTAAATTATTTATAATAAATTGTTAATGAGTATAATTCATTATAAGAAAAGAAGCAAACAAATTGTTTCCAGTTACCGATGAAATTAATGTGACACTTAAAAATATATTAAATTATAAAATTGAATAGAAAATCAAGAAAAAAATTTTTTTTTTTTTTTTAAAGACGTTTTGATTCTCATAGTTATAATTAATATTGTTCCATTGTGTTGACCGATTTCCTTAATTTTAAGCTGGTGCAAGTTTCTAGTGAAACAGTCATAACTATTTTTACTAGATTTTAAGGATTGCTTTATCAAATAGTAAGAGTGCAAGCATTCAATTATTTAGAATGAGCAGGTGATCCGAATGAGATTTCTAGCACCCATGTTATTAGAAATCTATAATAAAATAATTATGATTATTATATTATAGTTATATTTGGTGGCGTATCTAAGATTTTACGCTGAAGTAGTTTAACACGGAAACTCTCTGTAAATACAACTCTAAATAATACTAGTAATATAATACTAATTTATATATCGTTCTACCAAAACAGTTTGGAGATTTCTGCTATAAATTTTAAAAATAAAACGAAAAACGTAATTTTTATAAGATTACTTTCAGTAAATTTGAGGAGTAACGTGACTTATCATTTCAAGAGTAAAATATTTAGTTAAAATAGTTGAGTTAACAACTATATAGCGCATATTCAATGATAAGTACACGGGTTAATTATGAACATAAGAAAAAAACTAAACTTTATGTATACTACGTTATGCATTTAGTTATTTAGTGCCTTCATAAAATATTTTGCTTTAGTTATTCATAATAGGATTACATCATCACAGAGAAAAAATTTAGTTTAACCACGATTATCGTCCATAAGAGACACGTATCAAAAATAGCAAGGATAACAAAAGGTTATTCAATTATAATGATGAACATGCGGAAGGGCAATGTAACCATTACTGTTGCCTAGAATCCAGCTTTTTAAAAAGCCCTCTTAGCATAATGATAGCTAAAGAAAGCCTTTCTCTCTTTAATTTCTAATTTATAAAAATAGAAATAAAAAGGATCCCGCAAAAAATTTTTTGCATTGTTTGTTAATTATTTATTTTATAAATAATTAAACATTGCAATGTTTGCAATATTTAGCACCAGCACTGATAATAAACTAACCATACATTTAGTTATCCCAATATTATTTTTTTTGTTTCACGATTCAATGTAATTATGCTATTATAGTTTCACAAAACAGATAATAGATCTTTTATCTTTAATTTAACATTTTTGCAAATGTCGTATTTGGTTTTTAATCGCACACATAAAAGTTTTAAATTATTATAATTATTAAAAACGTAATTCGCCTAATCATTAACAGATTTTTTGAGTATTGTGATCTTAGGTGGTAATTTTGTCATATCATTATAGTTCAACAAACGCTTTAAGATTATTGTTTAATTTAAATTGAACAGATCTAATCAGTTAATATTTTCTTGGGTGACTTAAGTTATTTGTTTGCTATTTAATTGTATTTATGTTGTATTACTGATAAATATTAGGTTCTGTACTCAAGGAAATACTCCTTATACATTTTAGATAGTGTTTATGTTTCTGTTATACTAGTATTTTAGCACCTATTTTAATTTTATACTTTCATTATTTATCTACAGTATAATTTTTTTTAAATACTACCCCTTAATTTTTTCCTCGAATAAATATTTTTCATTAAAATGTACTAATTACAACTTTATTTATTTTTATAAACTATGAAGAATACTTAATAAAAATTGATCACTTGTGGCTAATTAATTAAATAAAATTAAAACTATATTCAAAATACTATTAATTTATAAACTAAAAAATATTAAAAATATTAAACTCGATATGAAAAATATCAAATTTACTGTAAAAAAAGTCATAATGATATTTTTTATAGAGAACTTACAAAAATTAAATGAAAACCTATAATTAGTTTTATACTATTAGATGGAGAACAAAATAAAGAACCGTTTTTCTGGTATTAACATTTAAAGATTTAGGCAAAATGAGGAACCTCTATCTAAAATTTACATTAACTCAAAATAAAATATTACAAAACTGGTGACTGATTTGTCAAAACTTTATTTAGTCTATCTAATAACATAAAAATAATTATAGGTTTCCATTAAATTTTTATAGGTACCTTTAGAAAAAAATAAAATTTCGTTCAACACATTTTTATCAAATTACCTTTATTGAATTAAATAAATAAATTGTGGTTAACAATCATCATTATTAGTAGTAGAATAATACATACATAGTCATTATAAAAGCGTTGTAAATAGTGAGTAATGTTTTTTACACATTTACTTATGACCCCAATTACCTAATGGCAATTATTTTGTATTATTTTACATATTACCATAATACCTTTGCAGCAGTGTATGATTTAAAACTAATATCGAACCAAGGTAACGTTGAAATACAATTTATTAAACCAAATTTTAAAAAGATCAAAAGACCAAATGTCTTTTATAATATTAAATAATATTTATTCCCTATTTTTAGGGAAATTTTCCCTAATATTTATTATATTATAATTTAAATACTATATTATTTGTATTAGAATTTTATTTTCTTGTATATCTTCTTATCACAATATTAAAATAATTGATGAATTTGCCTTAAATTAATATTATTTTCCGTAATGTTAATAATTATTTGATTAAATATCTTGCATATTTAGTTCTTGTTCTAAATTTTGTATGCCCAGTTCAATTTAAAAAGTATCTATTGATTTTTAGCAATTTGTTATATCTAATACTTTATCCACATACCGTTGAAATCGATTTTCGGCAAAACCAAACATTTCATTGAAACATTACATTATTGTTGGCCTGACCTATATAAGCTAACACAGTAGGTTTTGTGGTTCATAAGTGAATTGTTTATTTATGACGAGTTTTCAGTTCATAATACTAAAACTAAATTTCATATAAAAATTTAATTCACAGGTACCATTTTTATTGAAATAGGAGAGTAGTACTAATCTCTCAAATTTATATTTTAATCAACACTATAAGATAAAGTTTACAATTTTGACTCTACAAAATTAACTATTCGTATACCAAAATGTATGCACAGAAGAATGCAGTGGCGTAATTAGAATCGTTCTAGAGGGATAAGCATAAGAAAAATGTTTACTACCCCTCCAAACAAAGAAAAGTTGTATCTTCACGATATAATTATTTTTATCATGGCAGGGATGACACCTAAATACCTCCGTATTAATTAGTTAATTAATGGAAGAATGCATACTAAAATTTCTTTACAAATAAATACATAAATAAGAATAAGACTTTATTTTTTATCTTCAAAAATTAAATAGTTGAGTATTATAACATCTTGCTAAAAAATACAAATAAACAACATGAAAATATAATAATTTGTCAATAAAAAATTCCTAAACAAGGAAATTTACAAATTCTAATTACAAAAATTAACAATTAATATCTTCAAAATGATTAATTACAAAATGTATTCATAAATAAATAGTAAATGTTAATGGAATTAAGTTCTAGATGATGTATAGCCACGTAAATAAAAAAAAATTGATTTTTATTAATAAACAATTCATGTAGAATATTCTAAAACATTTTATAGACGTTTATTTATAAATTGATAAATTAAAATGACCATCAGAAAAATTGATAAAATATGGAAACAGATGCTGATATGATTGCAATTGAAGGGTTCAGTTTAGTTACGGATAATTATTTTTAAAAGAGTAATAAATTGTTTTTAAGTTTCTATGTGTAGTAAACTATCGACAATAAATAAAAGCAAATAATTTTATGAAAAGTATTTTTTAATATTTTTAATAACCCTAAAATGTTAATAAATGAAACTTTTATTGTTTTCTCTCAGCCCCAATGCCTAGTAGATACAAAAATACTAGAGGAGCAAAACCTAAAGGTGTTGCCAATCGGAATCGAGCATTAAATTGGATTCGTGAGAATGCTAACGAAGGTGTTGCGTATTTTGCTGACGATGACAATACTTACGACGTCAGATTGTTCAACGAGGTAAGTATTTTTTTAGTCATTAAAATGGTAGTATACTTAAATTGCTATCGTGGGTGGTTGATCAAATATCTAATTGAATTGATTTTTTTAACGCGAGCAACTAAACGTTTACTTATACAAAATAGTTTTTAATGTTTAGTCTACATACTATAAATAATTAAGTATTTAAGATATATTAAAACTGTTGATAAAATTATTTTTGAAATGATTTTATGTATTTTCAGAGTTTCTTCATTTTTTTTCAAATGATCTATACACCCTACCTAACGTATATTATTGTTATTTTATTCTAATATTTATTATTTGTGTAGATACGTGATACCCAAAGAGTATCTATGTGGCCTGTAGGACTATGCACTAAAACGGGATTAAGCACCCCAATTGTTAGAAATGGCAGTCTCATAGGTTTTTACGATGGTTGGATTGCTAACCGAAAGTTTCCGGTTGACATGGCTGGGTTTGCTTTTAGTGTTAATTTTTTAAAAAAAGTAAGTTGAAAATATAAAGGTAAACAAATACATATATGAAAATGATCAATTCTATTAAATAACTCAATCAAGTATTTAAATACCTGATCATTAAAATTAGATTATATTATTTAATCAATTTAATAATCACAAAATACAACTATTGCGTGACAAATTAACTCAATTAAAAACATATTAAACTCTCAGTGAATGAATATTAAGATTCATCTTTAACAAAATCGACTTACAATTTTTTTTTTATTAGCTTTCATGCGAAGCAAAGAATAAGCAGAGACTATGATGTTTTCTTTTATATTTGTCACCACTATTTCTCAGCTGACATCGGACCGATTTATTTCAACGATACGAGAAAAGATCACAAATCGTATCTAGTTGAAGACAGTGTCCTTAAAAATTATTAAAAATAATTTAATTAATTTTAATAATTAAAAAAAATAATTCCCATGATTCCCGCAAATCCCATAATTCCAAAAAATTACAATATTTAAAATTGTTAAATTTTAACATTTTTTTCTTAAAATTGTCATAACTTTTTCAAAAATGAACGAATCAAAATAATTATTTTCTATGTAATAACCTTACGTATTTCCCTTTCATTTTATAATTTTTTTGAAAACCTGACTATTCAACATTTTTTATTTAAATTCCATAAGAAGGGATTAAAAATAGCAACATTTTCACAAAAGTCAATTTTTTTAACTCAACTTTTGAAAGTTATATTAAAAAATTATCCTGACGACCATCTTCTATGTGCAAATGGCCAATGAAGTTAAACAAATTTATTAAATATTTATTCTTATATTACACTTATATATCATAAAACTTGTAATCGTGATTAAGTAAGGAAAAAGAAGTTCATTTTGCTTTTGGAATAATTCAATAATTCCTGCTAAAAATTAAACAGTATCTACAGATTTGCATCGGAGCGTTTTTTATGATAGTGATTTTAATCACTGTCACATATCATCTATACTTGTCCCAACTATGCCAAATGTGCACTGTGCTACCATTTTTTTCAAAAGTTTTCATAAATTTTAGTAAATATTTACTGATTTATATAAGATTATATATAATAATTATATTACATTTGAAATTAAAATAATAATAATAATATAAATGTAAAATACAGTGTAATTTTTTAAGAATGACACCCCGCTTCTTTACTCTACAATTTGATTTCATTTTTTTCATCTGTGTATGCTATAAATCTTTATTTTTCTGAGACCACAATTTTTAATATCCTTAAGGGGTATCGTTAAGGATAAATATAACTTTTTATTTAATTAGTATTCTAATTTTTTTTACTTATAAAAAAACTGTTTAACTTAACCCTTTCAGGACGGACAGGATGTCTACGTCCTAACTTGAAAATTGCTTATAAAAATTAAATCATTAATATTATCGTGTTAATTGTGTATCCGATCGGGACATCTGAACCCCATTTACAATAAGTATATCAAATAAAAATGCTAAAAAATATATTAAATAAATAAATGTATTAAACATTTTTTTTTTTAATTAAAAAGTCTACGAAAAAAAATTGAATTTTATTCATTTTTTCTGGTGTCGGAACTAAACTTAAAAGGGTTAAATAAAAAAAATTGTTAATAAAAAAAAAAATTGAGTGTCAACATGTTTCTTGATATTAATATTTCATAAAAATAACTTTATTACATAGTAAACGAGAATATGAGAATTACCTTTATAAAATCATCATCGGTAAATTTCAACGCATTCTAATGTGTAAGTATTGAATATTAATACGCTATGGACACCATTTATTAATGTTGATGTTGTCATTTTATTTAGGATTACTGTTATCCTTTGAATTAAAACTAAAACATCTCAAAAATCGCTAGTTTGATTTTTTATTATTTATGTTAGACAGCTACTAATATGTAAAAAAAAAATATTGTTCTAAATTTAAAAAAAAGTGTTTTTATCCTTACAGGTTGATACCCTTTAAATATAATAGAAATTGTGTTTACAGAAAAATATGCTTTCATGTGTACACATGTGAGGAAAAAATAATTTTAATTTAGTCAAAACTTCAGATTAAAGAGGAAGATATTATTTTTAAAAAATCACTTTGTATGTTTTTATAAATACTAATTTTTTATATAAGTTTTTACCGTAACAAAAATCAAACAAACCATCATAACCCTGAATAAACATACTAAATTATACTAATAAGAGAATAATATTTACAATTGGGTGCTTTTTGTTTACATTTGGTTTGATTTTAATGATTTCTTAATAATATGTGTTCATATAGCTAATTATTATTTTTTAATGTTTAATAAATATAAATACTACATAATATTTAACAATTATTGTACCTATCTAGAAAATTATTACAAACAAAAATATTTAATAATCAAAAAAGTATAAACAGTTGTATTATAAAACCTAAGTAAATTGAACTATTTACGTGATTGAAATATTAAGTAAATACTTTATTTATTTTATACATTTATTGGATATATCGTATTTTTATTGTATTAGAGACCTCACGCAAAAATGCCTTACAAACCAGGGTATGAAGAAGATGGATTCTTAAGAAGCTTGAGCCCATTCGAGCCTCGTGAGATTGAACTTAAAGCCGACAACTGTACTAAAGTATGATTAATTACTTGCTATATCATGAAAAGTATAAATTTATTTGACAATTTTTTGGTTTTTAAATTAACATATTAATAGTTAAATATTTATTAAACATTATGTCAAATATTATACTCCAATTTGATGATATTTTAATTTGTATAATTAGTTAGTTTCTTAACATTTTTAAAATTTCGTGCAACAATTATTTTAATTCATATTACACAAAATGTGTCTTAAAACATAAACCCTGTATTATATTGTATAAAATAAAATACAAGAATAAAGAGTAATCGATTAATATAAGACACTCATTTTCTTGGAAACTAATGAAATTTTTTTATTTTTGTAAAGGAAAATATTGTTTGATTTAAAAAACTACAATAATTTGTAGTTAAACATTTTTTTTCATCCTTTAAGGGATTAAAACATTAACTTAATTTTTTTTAATGGTGCCCTTATTAGTTTGATATGATAGAAAAAAAACATTCAAACATTTTTTTTATCCAATCAACTGTTTGCCTTTTAAAATTGTTTAAAGGTTTGGTTGAAATAAAAATTCATCATTAATTTGATTTTCATAATACCGAAGTACAACAGTAAGTTGTTTCACTAGGCCATAAATTATCATCGGTATTTATTTTTGCTAATGTAAGCGACTAATATGATTCGACAAAAAATGTTAATAAAAACTTGTTTATGTGACATATGAAGACATGACGACTGTTGTATATTAAACAACATATGATCAATAAATAATTGGTCAAGAACTATTAACTTTAACAAGAAATAATACATAATAAAACTTAATCGAATAGAAATATTATAAGAACAAAATTTTAAATTTAAATCATACCATATATTTTCTTTACAAAAATTAAAAATTATCATTAGTTATCAAGATAATGAATGTTTTAATCGATTACTTTGAATATACCTTAATAGTATTAAGAATCACTTTATATAAAAATAATGCTACTTAAACAATCATTTTATTTTTAGATTTTAGTATGGCACACACAGACAAAGAAAAATGAACCATCATTGAAAGTGAATGTTGAAAAATATAACAATACCAATATACTGGAACTCAAAAAGATAATTGTTTAATTAAACACTGTGAATTGTTTTCGAATGGATATTTAATGATATATTAGTTTATTTTTCTTAAGTAAAAAATAACATCAATGGTTTTTAATCTTTAATTCATTTGGCTTGTACCACGCTTTTCTGTTGAAATAATTAAATTAGAACTTGCTCAACCAAAAATTTATTCAAATATTATTTTTTACTGATTATTATTATTTTAATATTTATTATTACTGCATTATGATTGTTGTTTCTTTTTTAATTCTATACTACTTTATTACTACTTATACCAACCCTATCTCTTATTGTAGTTAAAATTATATTTAGTATAGATAAATAAGAATATCTTAACGAAAAATATTTCTTATAATTTATGTATAATGTTTTTGGCATAGACTATTATTTATAGTTGTCAACCATGTAACAACTGTAAAACAATATGAATAGGTAAAATCATATTTTTGATTAATTAGGATTATAATAATGTTAATTTGTGTCAGAAAATATAATAACATGTTAATAATAAAATATTAAGTTAAGATTTGATCTTGTATGTAAAACTTGTCAATTGCATTCATTTTAAATTTTCATATAAAATTATGATTATTTAGTGAATTTGTAGCTATACATCATATCAAAACATTTTTTGTACAAATGTGTAAAATTATTTAAAACAAATTTTATATTAATATGTAACTCTGATTTATAACTAAAGCAATAATCCATACACTTCCATGATACATATCTATGGGTTGGTAATATATTTTTTATTACATACTTTCACAATACAAAAATATGATTTAAAGTTTTGTTTTATATGTCAATGTTAAATTTATAAACAAATAATTTATAAATGAACTCATAGAGACTGGCTAATTAATTTATGGTACCTATGTAATTGTTAAGTATTATTACTTTATGTAAGCACAGCACCAAATTATTAATTGTATCATTCTTTTATATTTTAAAATTATGTTTGAAAAAACATGAGATGATGAAGTAAATCTCTTTGTTTATTTTAATCTTACTTTAAGAAAATTATAACCATATCAAAAGAAAAACTGTATTATTGATAAATTATTTAGCATGGCTTTCAGGCAACTATTGTCAATCAAAAAAATATTTTTACATTAAGTTTTTGTATAATTCACTCAAAAAAAATTATTTATAGATGTAAAATCATTTATATGAAATAAGATTGTTATATTATTTATACATAAACTGTATGTATTTATGTCATATAGGCACATTAATTATTAAATTAATATGTAACTTAAGTGTAGTTTTGATGTATATATGAATGTAAAATGTTGCACTCCTAAAATTTATTACAAAAGTGATATTTCTTATTAGTACTCTGATTATATAATACCTACTATTTATTTTAAAAATATACTTGAATCACAAAATAATCTGTCAGGGTACCCGTCAGTAATTTAAAGGAACGCAGTACAAGATAATCTTAATATATCCAATTTATTTTATAATTCTACTTCAAAATGTTTATTTTATATTGTAGTTAATTATACATTTATGTACTACAAGAAAAAAAAATCATAAAAATATAATTAAACATCTATTAATTGAAATTCGATTAATTAACTAATTGAGACAGTATGTATCAATAACACATTGTTTTTAATAAATGCTAAAAAATACCATAAAACTTTTGGTAATTCCTCATTTTTTCAATAAAACATAATCAAATAATAAATATAGTTGCATTCTTAACACAATGGTTAATTTTAGCACAAGAAGTCTATAAAATCTTATTGAATCAATGTCTAAGCAAATAAAAATAGTATTCAAAACTGTCTAAAACACATGATTATTAATTAAATATTTTATTTAGTCTTATGTAAACAAATTATATATATATATATATATATAAATCGAAAAAAGTAATTATTTAATTACGTTACTACTATTTTAGCCATAGGAATTGTGTTCCTTCCGAATGTCTCATGACACCGGCAGTTTTTTTTATAAAATCGTTCGAAAAAAAATAATTTTGTTTACTTTTTATGATAAAATTCCTGTATAGTGTGATCAGTTATTAATTTGGAAAATGGTCCACTTTTTAAATTTTTACAAGGCAATATTATTTAATTATATTAATAGACTAAAATGACTTCTAACAACGTAAAGTAACAATGATTAAGACATTTGAAATATCTTAGATAGCTATAAAATTGCAAAAATAAGACCGTGTTATCAAAAATTCGAAGAATTGCCTAACGACAACACCATAATGTACAATCGTTTAATTTATTCGATTTTTTCAAATTCTAAAATTAGAAATATCATTAATAGCATTAAAGGTATTAGCAGAGACACGTATTCTTACGACTAGTAAAGAAATATTATTTCAATATCCTAGTCTCATGTAGGTTGTTGTGAGACTGGCCCAACTACTATTTCTCAGAAGCTATTGAAATTCGTTTTTCTATTATTATCACTTAGATTATTACTATCTCAAGCCTTGGAATTTACAAATTACGATATTTTCGGAGTTTTAAATTTAACCATACATAATTCTTTCGGTACAATACTGACACCGTAACAATCATACATTATTTAACCCGTAAAAATTAAACTAACTTGTTATATAGAAGTAATTGAAAAAATAAAAAAGCCTACTAATTTAATAACAAAAATGATAAATACTTTGTCTTTTGTTTTATATCCATTCCATGTCACTTTTAAATTCGTTGTTTCCCAGTCTAGTTTTTAGTCAAACAATAAGACTGCCTACATTACTAAGTGTATCAAATGCTTGTAACTCAATAAGTATTTATCATATACCTATTATCATCAAATTATCAAATTTTTTTTAGGTAAGAAAACGCCTAAAAAATGGTTATTTTGACATTTTGAAAATTATATACATATATTTTCATTATAAACAGATAATAAAAAATTTTCCTTTAACGTAGTTAAAAAATATATAAATATTTCTATAAAAAAGTAATGTAAAATATTGGCTAGATTAAAAGTTATTAGATTTGTCAAAAAATCGAAGAACACTGTATTTTTTATTTGTCAAAATTATATATACCTATACACTGGCGTAATCATATGGGACACTATATTTTAATAATATTTCAATTTTAACACAAACTTTGGTATCATCAATATTAATAAAATTGTGTTATGAAGTTATAGGTAATAGGTTGAAATTATGACTATAATATAGAATTTCGACCATAGAAGATAAAAGACCATACATTTAAATTTGTATTAGAATCTAGAACATCAATACAAATTTTTATTAACTTTTTATGTAAAAACTATAGAAAAATGTCCTACCATAAAGAAAAAGACTTTTGGTTAAGTAAGACATACTATAATAATAAAACATTTATTCCAAAAGAAAAATAGGAGATGGAAATAAAAAAAGTTATTAATGAAAATAATAATAAATTAACTTTCCTATCATACAATACTTACTTTTTTTAAACATTCTATTCAATAATTTTTATTAGATACATGAAATAATAAAATAATTAATCAATAAACTAATGATTAAAACATTTACGTGTACTCCTATGGTATCTTTAAATATCGTGTTATTAGTACACTTATATACTTGCATAAAATAAACAAAACTGACATGCGCAAACCAAAATAATATCTTACTAAAAACTATGCGCGTGGACTTAGAAAAAAAGCTCATAACTCGGTCAAAAATGAACAGATTTCAAAGACATTTTCAAGGTATCTTGGAATGTCTCTGGGCAGATCTGGTAAAAATTTCAGAATTTAAATCGAAAAACGCTTGCAGCAATGAGTGTTTTTGATAACATTTTTAAACGCTCATAGTGTGCTAAAAATTTTTTTTACATTTTCGTGAATAATTTTCCTGGAATAGCGTCGTTGAGCTCTTTTATTAAAAATTTTTTTCGTACGTCTAGACCCTTATACTCTTATAAGATACAATGGTGGGGCATAAAAAAACAGAATGATTGAAAAATTGAGAGAAACATTATCAATATTTTCTCATTAGTAGGCCTTTTATCATAATATTAATAAATAATTTACTTATTACAAACGTTTAAAAAAAATTTTTTTTCTTATTTAGTTCAGACTGACAATAGAATGACCAACTAATGTTTTCATTGCAACAAAACTTATTTCAAATATTCAAAATGGTTCATATAATTTGGAATTTCTATTATTTTTTCTTGTTATTATCGTTTTAGATTCAATTATAAGCAGTGCTCGAATTTTGGGGGGGATGGTGCGCAGGGGGACAGAGCTCCTCTACTTTTTTTTTTTTTCCGCACCCCAACTACTTTTTTTTATTGGGACGGGAGGACGGTGGAAAATACGACCGCATTTTTTTTAAATATAGATTTAAATTGTGATCAATTTTACAATTTAAAATATTTTGTAATAAATTGATTTTTTATAATTTATATATCATATTTCATTATGGTATGATAATGAAATATGATTTATTAATAAATACTAAATAAAGTAATGAGTAAAAAAAAAAAAAATGGTCTTCAAAATGCTAGGGACGCAGTTTTCAAATTGTTAGGTTGAGCTCCCCTACTTATTTTTTGCCAATTCGAACACTGATTATAAGTTACTTGTATGTTGACTATATGAAAATAATATCGAAGTAAAAAAGTCATTTAACACAATAACTGGATATTAATATTAAACTTTAAAGATAAATATTAATATAATTTATTTCAAGTACTTTATTAACAACAAATATATCTATTAATCCAAAATATTATCTTCTCCTCTTGCATGTGCCATTATTTGGTCACCTCTATTAGACGATATAAAGGTTACAAAATACACTATATTGTGGAGAGATGGTCAATTTTTCAATTAACTTTTACGCTATTTTTTTTAATATTACAATTTAANCAAATAGAAATAGATAAAAAAACAGAGGATTTTTCAATTAACTTTTACGCTATTTTTTTTAATATTACAATTTAATATTAGAAAAATACTTACTAGTAGATAACAACTTTTGATTTTTTTGATTTTAACACTGAGTATGTAATAAGTAATGCTACGGCTATTAGTCGGACATTTTACCAAAAAATACGGTATGAAAAATCTTAGAATTTTCTTTTAAATTATCAGGTTACCCAATACTCTTTGGAATTAATAAATTATGTTTTGACACCAGTAGTAAGATTCGCATAAAAATTCAGTAGGAAACATTAAAGTTTTTAGTTTTAATTATTCTTAAATTAAATTTTCACACTGTACTTATATTATATTCAATTATATGATGTAATAAAATATTTAATATTAAGGCTAATATATATATATATTTAAATTTTTGTAATAATAATTATTAATATATTATAAAATATAATATATAAAATAATACTACGATTTTTATTCTAGTGTAAACTATATTATAAGTGTTATATTAAGTTATGAAATTAATTAATTTATTAAAAATAACAAATACGAGAATCGTATCCTACGAGCAGTTTTTAAACGTACTTCAAACAATTAACTATTATTCAAGTTATGAACTTTAAATATGTTACACATTTCAAATGTTAACGGTTTCAACTATTTAACTTTGATACTATGTGTTATTCGTGTTGCGGGGATTTACTTATTTAAATTTTTTTAGTAGCCATAACAATTATGATTACAAAATGTCAACATTAAAAACTATATAAAGTGCGAAATCTTTTCAATTTGATTACTACTCAATGTGCACTTAACTTAAAAAACAATTTATGATTTAACATTAGTTTATTTATTAAAAAATATGTTCCGATTGATTGAGTTAGCCTTTTATGCTTGCGGCATAGAGCAAAGACAAGTTTATAATGAGTTCAAGTCGCTACCGCCGGTAGACTTGAAACCATGTTGTGAAATGATATTGGAACATTTAAAACAAAATGTAAACTCTACAGATGAATCTATAGATGTTAGCTCTACTTGGAAATGCATGATTGTTAATGATGTAAATGAAAATGGTCACTCGGAACAATGCGACATTTATTCTGACTACGAAGATTGCCAATGCGAATTACTTGCTACAACTGTAGCATCCCAACATGGACACGTGGAATGTTTAAAGTATGCACACAAAAACGGATGTTCGTGGACTGTGAGTACAATCAACTGTGCAGCAGAAAACGGTCATTTGGATTGTTTAGTATACGCACATGAAAACGGATGCCAATGGAACGAATCATCACCCGCTAAAGCAGCTCACTTTGGTCATTTAAATTGCGTGAAGTACCTGTACGAGAATGGGTGTCCGTGGGACAACTTAACAACATTGTTTGCTTCGATAAGTGGTAATTTGGACATTTTAAAGTATGCTCACGAAAATGGATGCGAGTGGGATGAAAACGTTATTTTCTTTACTCTTTACACTGGTCAATTTATCTGTTGGTTATATGCAATTAAGAATGGATGTCCATCGACAAATATTGATATAATTGCATTTGATGAAAAATATGATAAGCTTGAATTTACCTTTCGTTTCGATGTGCCCACGAACACAATTGTTGGCAGAATATTCGAGAAAATTAGTAAAAATATTGAAATAAAATATAAAAAAATAGTTGAATATAATCATCTAGACAAAATAGAAGAAAAAAATCGAAACTTGTTAAATAATACATAATTCAAATGAAAGTTTACAACAAAATTACAATTACTTTACTATTTCAACGAAAATAATTAAATTATCAAATTTATCCATACATTTTATGATTAAATTAGTTATCGTGATAATTAATATCGTTTAAATGTTTGATTTTATATAATTTTATGAGTTAATTTTTTTTTTTTTAATTGTGTAACTTTTTCAATTATATAAATATTGTTAATAAATTTAAATCATTTTATGTTAAACTATACCCTATTATTCTCTTTCAACTTCTATTACTTAAAAACCAATGACTATTAGTCATTATTTTAACGAAAGTCGTTAAGTCAATTCTAAATTCAAATACTTCACAACTTTGATACTAATTGCTACTAATTAATTTACACCTTTGATACTAATTGTTAATAATTCATTTTCAAATATGAATTATTTAATAAGTGTCCTTTTTAAAATATTAGTTTCCTCCGTTGAATTATTGGATAATAATACTTTATCCACATAAAGTAATAATTATCTAATATTAGCGATTAGTCTTATCGCTCTTAAGAAACACTGTGGTTACATTTACAAGATGTAAATTTTGTTCATTAGCTATAACCAACAATGTATTTGTTATAACAATGTAAACAACCGGAGTTTATGTTTCTGAATAATCATTTTTGTTCAATTCAGTAAAACATTTTACTACAAGCCTTGTTTTATATCTTAGGGGATTTCTTTAATCTAATTTTAATTTGGTTACTCTTTTATTGTCTATGATTAGTTTTTATTTGGATGATTTTCAACTCATTTACATAATTTGGAATATTGTGCACATAGCAGTCAGCTAATAAAGTGAACATTGTCATATAGTTTTGGGTGACATTTTTTATTTGAAAAATTTACTATTTTTAAATTTACAATCAGCCATTTTATGACCCATACGATCACAGTAATGGATATTTACTTGAAGTCTTGGCACCAAAAGCAACTTTATTATGCAACTTTTCAACAATAATTGATTAGTGTGAAGTCATTTTTTAAGTATAATGAGTTTGACATGAAAATAGATACTTCGAACATAACACTTTTTAGAGTACCCCAATAGCAATAAAATTATGTAGTAATTTTATTATAACATAAATATATTATGTTATTTTCAAAATCTATATTTATATTAGTCGTTATGTGGTTAAAATTTTAGCATCGAAGCAAATCTGAAAAGGTATTAATTTTACTATGATGTGTTTTTTTTTTTATGTATGAATGTTGCCACAATGTTGCAACGATACGTCTAAAGATCACAAATTGTATCTAGTTCAAAACATTGCCCTTAATAATTAAAAAAATTTCTCTTATTCTCTGTAAATGGAGAAAATTCCCCAAAAAATTACAATATTTAAAATCGGTAATTTTCGACTATCTTTTTACTTTTTTTTCTTAAAGCTACCATGATTTTTTGAAAAATAAACGAAATAAAATAATATTTTTAAAAATAGAAACCTTAAGTGTTTCTCTTTTATTTTATATAATTTTTTTTGAAATTTTGACTCTTTATCAACCCACAAGGAAGCATTCAAAATAGCAACTTTTTTTACAAAAAGCAACTTTTTAAATTTAACTTTTGAAAATGTTCCGGAAATACTGCATCTTTTTTTTATATGTTAAATTAAAACATATGTTAGGTACTATAAGTTTAAAAAAAATTGTCCCGACAACCTATCTTTTATATGAAAATGACAGTCGAAGTTGAACAAAAAATAGGAGTTAATTTTGCTTTTGAAATAATCCACCAATTTCTTAAAATTAAACACTATCTACAGATTTGCATTGAAGCGTTTTTTATGATAATGATATTTAATCACTGTCAGATATCATCTATACTTGACCCAACTATGCCACGCTACAGTTTATTTAATAGAGTTCTAGAATTTACTAAGTGTGCCTTAATGTCTAACAAATATCAATGAAATGAGAAACTTTTATTAAATATCTTGTTTTTTTTTTTTTTTAATGTATACTACTATTCATTTAATCATAATATAATACATTTTATGCACTCAAATAAATTAAATTGTATATTTAGTTTTATAGGTTTTTAAATCATGAAATAATCTTTGAACTTTTATCGTAGATTAAAAAAATGCTGCACATGATTCAATCAACTAATTATCTATGTCGATTTGATGTATATTAATTGATTATTTGCTTAATAGTATAAAATTTTGTTGAAGTGAAGTGATTTGCGTTTAAGAACATGAGGTATCAAATGTGTAAAAATAGTGTTATATTATGAATTCGATTACATTACCAAAATTATAAATTTATACAGAATTATTCATTTATGGTTAACTACTAGATTTCTCGTGAAATAATAATAATTTTGAGTATTTTTTTTTGGTTTACTGAAGTAGTATTGTCCATCCTTTATTCTTTATAAGGGTACCAACTTAATTTTTTTAAATTGCAACATATATAGAGTGTTTATAAAGTAAAAGAAACAGGTCAATTGTTACGAACAATACAAACATATTTTCTTAATTATTGAAAACTCTGTATGTTGAACTAGTTCATATTGCAGAAAATAAATCGAAAAGTTGTTATCGACCAGTCATTTTCTTAGTTGGATCATTTACTATTATATGAAATAGTATTTATGTTGACATTTAAAAAATAAAGTTTGTATCTTTAATAGAAATAAACGAAAGACTAAAAAATATTTAACTATTTATAAATCAAGGAAGATAATATTAAAAAAATCAAGAAAATTTTTTTTTTATTATTATTTTAGGAGAAATTTAGTGGTCAACAACAAATTAACCCATTTTGTATAGTATTCAATGTTAATAATGATATTTGCGTTCAATTTTCGATAAGATCTAAAATAATTTAATGAAATTTACTAGACTTATGACATACTAGCATCATGACATGGCAATAAATGCAGTTATTAGTTTAAAAAAGTTAAGGTTGTCGTCATATAAAGTTTCTTATTTTAATCTTATTTTACATTAACATAATATTCCAACATCCAATAAATATTAGAATTTCATAACTTGCATAGAAATTTCGTGAATGTCTTTTATTAAAATTACTAGTTTAAATAAAATTATTGATATTATGAAGTGTGTTATTGGTATAACACAGTAATATACCTATTGGTTAATTAATAAGAAATTAACAAATATAATTCAACATTATTCCTTAATTTATGCATAGTTTTTAATAAATTTATTCTTATCAATCTGTGATTACATAATATATTATCGAAATTGATTAATAAATCCTATATTTTGTTTTAACTCATAATATGTTCATACAAATATATAATATATTGATTATTTTTATCATTTTTTTCTGTCTATAAATAGTACAAATTTAAATTTTAAATTAATTACTAGAATAATTATCGACCAAAGTACTGGTAATTTAACGATTAGTTTGGATAATATTTGTTTTTCACTAAACATTTCTTTCGTGTATAAAATAATTAAATTCAAGATGAATAAATTAATATTATTTTTGACTGTTATTATAATTACTACAATTACAAGTAAATTATATTTGAATTACTTAATTACGGAACAGTATTTAATAGTTTTTATGTGACTTTATTTATTTATCAAACTGGTTCGAATATTGTTTTACTTATAAATTGTCTATTGACAATCAGGGTGTTCAAAAAGTAAGGAAAAAGATTATATTGTTTTCGTTGTCTGGGCATTTTTTTTTTTTTTTTTACTATAAATAATACATTTAAAAGTATAATGAGTAAAAAATTCATCAAAAGCAAATTTATTGTAAAATAAAAAAATTGTCAGTCGACGAAATAAATTTCTAAATACGCGTTTGAATGCATTAAAAATAATGTAATAAAATAGCGATTTTCAATAGCAGTTTTAAAGTCTTGTGTGTATTTGAAGTACTAATTAGAGGAATATCTTTAATTAATATAACTAAGTTTATCAAATATTATCGAAGTATCCGTTATTCTGATGTTTCATCTTTGACCTAAAATTTAAAATGTAAGCTGCAAACGAAATCTAGATTGCAATTACATAATAGTTAGTTGTAATTCTTTGTATTCTACTAATGTCATTAATTAAATAAAAATTGTTAAATTGAATAGTTAGAAGTAGTCCAACTGAAGATAGCATACCAGGACCTCCCAGTGATTTAAAAGGTAAGTTATCAAGGCTATAAAAGATCCATTTAAATAATGTTAAATAATTCAAATTTTGAATTCAAACAGTTTACCCACAGTTATATTCATGCAACATTAAATGGGAGGCTCCATTAGGCAACACAGTGGTAACAAAATATATTGCATCATGGGGAGAAGAAAAAAAATTTATTGAAATAGATGCTAAAGTCGTAGAAAATTATTTATACTATGAAATTCGACCACTTGGTAACGTAGTAAAAAATGTTAATACATGAAAAATAGCTATCATATATTTAACGAGTATTAATGATTTTCTAGAACCCAATACAGATTATGTAATTAGTCTTGCTGCAGGCAATTCAAAGGGAATAGGACCTTCAATATCCAAGAGTATACGAACAGAAAAATCACACATAAATTTTCTTCTAAATTATAAAGTAACAAGATATCCGTTTGAGTTCATCGATCACGCATTGACATCAAGTGTAAACTATATAAAAAATACTAAAAAAGAACTTGGTTTTTAAATAAAATATTAAAATTTTAAATCATATGAAAGTTAATTACTTTTTTATTTTTTTATATAAATAAGAAGATCAGGGCTTTATATTAAAATAGAGGTGATTTTCGTCTCTGAAACAGCGCCATCCATATTTCATGAAGCCAATATTTACAAAATATGTTTATGATAATTAAAAATGGAAACAATTTTTTTAAATTAAGGAACAAAAAATAAATTAAATTTTTTTGGAAATTAATTTGTTTTTTTAATAAATGTTTAACAAAAAAATGAAATTTCAGTATGTATGCTATATTAAAAAAAAAACCAGCACAATATTATGTAGTATTTATAAGCTTTTTATATTTATTAAACATTAAAAAATAATAATTAGCTATATGAACACATATTATTAAATAATCATTAAAATCAAACCAAATGTAAACAAAAAACACCCTATTGTAAATATTATTCTCTTATTAGTATAATTTAGTACGTTTATTCAGGGTTATGACGATTTATGTTTAATTTTTGTTACGGTAAAAATTTATATAAAAAAACCCAGCACAGGGGGATCGCGGCACAGTTGGGACGTGGCATAGTTGGGTCAAGTATAATGATATGATTAAAATCACTATCATAAAAAATGTTTCATTGAAAACTGATAAAAATAAATTGATAAAAACTCAGAGATACTATCACAGTGTTGTTAACCTAATAGATTGACAGCAAAAAAAAATAATAATTCCTCAAGTTTATTGTAAGAAATGTCTATAACATGTTCATGAGTAACTCACCATTTTAAATTTGGTCAGTTCTTATAATTTTTAAGAAAGTATTATTATATTGTATATAATTATTTTATTATGTATCAATTTACTAGAAATTTATTACATATTAAAATCATAAAATATAAAACTAAATGATAACAATATAAAATCACACAATAATTATCATTTTATGTGTGTTAAAATAAACAATATATATTTTATAACAAGATTCAATTGTCTTAAAGTTATTAAATTAAGTTATTAAAAGTTATAATTTTAAATTAATATTTTATCATTATTAGTATTTAACCATTAATAAAAAAGAACATTACTTTAGGCAAATTTGAGATCATAGTTTTTAAACAATTACAAATTTAAAAGAGAAAACACGAGCAAAAGTGTTCTTCTACCACCAACATAAATCAGGAGGGAAAGAAAGTATGCCCCCCCTGAACTATGTTGGTGGTAGCGTGGACACTAATTAGACATTGGGTGATGGTACGATATCTGGCCGCACCGACATTACGTAACGCGCTTCCAAGAACAGCGCCCCATCTCGCCTATCCCGAAAAACGCGTTACGAACACCGCTGCGACGAGATTCGAACCACCTACCAGAAAACTTAGAAATCGGTATTTTACCCAATGCCGCTAGTGCCCACGGTGAAGTTATGAAGCTAAAATGTACTTATTTAAAAGACACAGATTGAAGAGTTATATGACTTGTTAAAAAATAAAATCATAAAAATGTTTCATTGCAAATCTTTAGATAGTATTTAATTTTAAAAAATTGGTGGATTATTCCTAAAGCTACATGATCTGCTATTTCCTTATTTATATCCTGATTAAGATAAAGTATGTCGAATGAAAGAGGTATATAAATATTATTATTTCTTATAATAAAATTTTATTGATCCATACATTTTTCAAAAAGTTATAGCATTATAAAGTTAAAAATGTAAAAAATAAAAATGAGAATTTTAACACAAAAATAGCATACGCTAACTATTTTCACTATGAAGACAAAATAAAGTCTGACATTTTTTTTTTCCATGATAAAGTATATTACATTAGCTTTAATTTAATATATAAGTGTCAGACTTTCCGGAACACTTTCGAAAGTTAAGTTAAAAAAGCTAATTTTTTGTGAAAGAGTTGTCATTTTGAATCCTCCCTGTAGGCAGGTAAAGGGTCAGATTTATAAAAAAAAATATACCAAATGATAAGTAAAGATATAATGCATCAATAAAAAAAAATTATATTAATTTGGTCATTTTTGATAAAGTTATAGCAGTTTTAAATAAAAAAATTGAAAAAATTAGTAATTTTTAAATTTGTAATTTTTTTGGAGGTTTCCCCTATTTACGGGAAACGAGGGAATTTTTTTAAATTTTTGAGGGTAATGTCTTTGACTAGATATAATTTGGCGTATCATTGAAAAAATTGATTCGGTGAGAGCTGAGAAAAAGTGGTAACAGACACACAAAAAAAAACATATCATAGTAAAATTAATACTTTCTCAACTTCGCATTGAAGCTAATACATGGACTGTAATTTTATATATTCTGATTTTAGAATACAAATATCATTTCACATATTTTAATACAAAAAATACCACATTAAAAAAAAAAAGAGGAAAACTTCTCTCTATACATTTAACATTTTAACAATGTAAAAAAGATAATCAAGCATATAACGGTTACCAACAGGTAGCTAACAACAAACTTTATACTTAACAATATCGGTACCCCTAAAGATAAGAAAAGCATGACTAATTCTCATAAAATTAAATTGTCCCATGTTCATGCTAAAATATTGAGCCACTTCTTTTAAAATTTAAAAAAATGTTCAGTTTTAAATTTCCCTTTGGAGAGGAATTTCATTCTCATGACCTTCTTTAACATTAAAATACGTATATACAAAATCAATTAATATATTAATTGATTTTAAAGAATAATACTTATTACAAAACTAAATAGATCAGTATTTTTGGTAATCTTATTGTTTTCAAATTAATTTCAAATCAAAAAATTATTTACAATTTAAATAAAAAATAGAAATGTTTAATCATGGTCACTAAGCTAAATATAAAATGAAATTAACGTAATAGCAATAAGGCTGCCATTTTTTGATTTTGTAATAATTTATTTGTTTTATATATCGACATGAGCAACGAATAAGGAAGTAACTCACTTTTTCTGACTTTTCAGGATATCAAAAATAAAAATTACTCTCCGATTATATGCTATACGTTTATCAATTTTCTTAGTATTTTAATTCCAATTCGAATTCAAATTGTCGATATTTATATGAAAATTATTTTAAGAAGAGTAAAACTTAAATATAAATACACCATAATCTTAAAATCGATGTTTTGAGTTACTGCCTTATTCATTGCTTATAGCGATATATATCTTTAATTTATGATATATTTTATATGTAAAATATTGTCTGTTCGAGGGGTTGTTATAATTTTCTGATACGCCTCTTAAGTACGCCACTGATATATTTCAGTGATAGAACTATTTGCATTGCAGCACTTTTTTTATTTTGAAAAAATGAATATTAGATTTCAATTTATACTACAATAAGTTTAAACTAAACTAGGTTTTCTATATTTGATTGATCATACAAATTATTGCCTAAAAATAATCTTTAATAGTATCCAATGGTCAATGAATAATAAAACCATTAGAATATTTATTAATTTAAAAACTTGTTACGTAGTTACTCATGTATTTAAAATATTAATAAATTGAAATAGTTATTGTTCCCTCTATAATTACTGTTTAATCGATAAATGATTTTAAAAGTTTTTCGTGGACAGTAAATATTTATCGTTAGCATAATTTTATAGTTAATTTGAATATTTTGTATAATGTTTTCATCGAGGTTTCTAATTTGTAATAATTTTAAAATACTTAGTCAATCGAAAAAAATGTTTAACTTTAAACAAAAATTTAGTACATCATTCGTTAACAAAAACAAGGATTTTCAAACTGTGCAAGATACAAAAATAAAATCTGAAGATGATATTAGAAATATGTTAGTAGCAAAAATAAAAGAGTATAAAGAAGAAGTAATGAATCAGGCATCAGAAAATGAAATAATAAACGCACAAATGGCCGTTTTAGAATCTAAACTTAGAAAATCCTATGGGTTTAATGCTGATGAAGATCTAAACTCATTCCCAAAATTTGAATTTCACGATCCAGTAATTGATTACAATTTTGATTTAAATGAAAATGACGTTAAAACCTGATGAAATAAAAAATATATATAATATAGGCTAATAACTTTTTAAAATTATTAATTTGTTAATATAGAATAAATATTATTATATGTTTGTATATATAATCTAATTAGGAAAATAACTGGTCGATAACAACTTTTGGATCAGTATTTTGGAAGTTATTGACATATTTATATCTTGATAAGAGAAAGAGAACGGCTGGGAAATTTTTTGTTATAAAAATAGCATCAATCTCCATCATTATTTTAAATTGTTTATAATTTCCGAATTATTGGGTTAAAAGTTGTTATCGACCAGTTCTATGCTTAAGTTATAAGTATTACTAAAGTTTAGTATGTCATTATCTATTAAATAAGCTAATTAATTAGGGATGTCATTTGAAAGATTTAAGTTAAACCCTTATAAGGCATAAGGGGTGAACATAAAAAAACTTTATGACTGAAAAAATGAAAGAAACATTAAACTAAAAGAAATAAATAAAAATTAATTAATATTATTTATATTTTTCATTTAATTTAAGTGATTCATGATAAGTGAATTGTACGTGTAAATATTTTAACTGATGACATAGATCCTACCATTTCAGATATATTAGTAAGTGTAATAATATTAGAAGATACTCCTCAAACTTCTCAATTTTTTAATCAAAGTGAGTTAAGTGATCTAATTAAGAGCATAGATCAATCTAAGGAATATTTAGATCTATTAACTGTTCAATAATCACTAAGTATTTTGAACAGACTTAATAAACTGGAACCTTTTATTAGTATTTGTAATTAAACTTAACTAATATTCATAATCATAGTGCACAATTTATTTTATTTTTAGTATTTATAATTTTATTTATCCAATTTTCATTGAATCTGTATTAAATTTTTAAAGAAATAAACTGATATAATAAAACACAGTTATATATATTTATATATACATTGTAATATTTGAACAAAAAATTAAGTTAAAGTTAAGCGTTTTAAACTTTGAATTTTGTGAAATTTTAGACAAAAATGCATAGTTTTTACTCTAATGTTAATGTAAAATTAACTTGGTATAAAAAATTTGAGTTTTAGTATTGTATTACTTTTTAATGAGAAACTATTCGATTTGGACAGTTGTAACAAACCTGAGTAACTTTAAAAGCTTGCAATTTTTCAAAAATGAAAAATATGCATTATCTTTAAAACAAAAGCATTAGGCAACTCTGAGAGGATTTTCGAAATTAGTGACCTCGCGATATATAGAAAAATAACACCTCCACCCTTGAAGCTGACAACTTTATTTCTTTTGGCCATTGTTATTCAAGGAGAAATTGAGTGGGGCTAACGTCAAATGAATCACTTTGTTAACGACTAATTTAGTATTTGAATAATTTAATTTTGAAGGTTTAAACATTTCGCATATTTTAGTGGCTACGAGAACAAGTTTTTTTTTTAATAATTTGAACAATTCTTTTAATGTTAAGATTAACTTAACCTTCCCGCGTAAGTTCATAATTTTTAACAATGAATTATCATAAAAATAAAAATCAGTGATTTTGAATACTTTAGAAATTACTTGTATTTGTATTTAAATACGTATTCTTAATACATTTTGCTTTAAGTATTCCAATACGTATACCAGATATATTTTAAAAGTATTTTTAACATGACTGATATTTATAGTGTTTAGTAATTAAGGAAACGGATTTCTATTGTTCTTATTGTTTGTAACATTTGACCTGTTACCTTACTTATTGAACACTGTATATTTTGAATTGATATGTGTCTGATTTTTATTCAAGATTAATAGAGAAGTTTTGATACAATGGTATATTTGAGAAGTAGTGGTTGTATGGATCAGATGAAGCCTACCCGTAGGACCGTTATCTTGTACACCCTCAAATCAAAATGGTTGTCGGTTGTTTAGCGTCTTGCCTATACTTCCTTATAATATGATATCTTTTTGTTTTTTTTTATCAGTTTCCCCAACTTTAAATCAAAATAATATACATTTTATATCTAGATATCATAATTCTATAAACGATTTTATTATAACAGTTATTACAAAATAATTAGTTTGTAAAATAATGAAAACAATATCAAATAAATCAATATCTTAAAATATAATATATTTCTTATGTGTTGATTATTTTGATTACTTATAGCCACGCATTTTCTTTAGTGATTATTAGAATTATAATTAGTTTAACATTAACTTAGAATATATTTACAATTATCATCAAGATTTTATAATTTAGTTTCTAAAAAATTTCTGGGAAACATTAGTAAAATCATGTATGGCGAGTAGATCTAGTTGTGCGCTTAGGCTTTCTTATTTTTTACAATGTTAAGAACTAACAAAAAACAAGTAAAATGGAAACTATTATTCTATTGTTGGATAATTGCACTCATTGCAAATGTTCAAGGTGAGGAATAATTTTAATTAATAAAATTAATTTAACTACTTTTGAATTTTAAATAATTTTTTTATTATATGAATGTAAGGCTATTATGAATGTAGGAGAGGTCCTGGGTGTGTTTATCCCAGGCTGCAAGTTTTTATGAACGGCTTTAAAATATAAATATTAAAGTTTAAAATCTTTTTATTTTTCTCATTTATAAAAAAAAATATATTAAATAACTTAATATTAATGTAAAGTTGTTAATAATATATTGAATTTAATTGCAATAGTACTATTAAATATTGCTAAATATTAAATTTTTATTGAAAACTTAAATTTAATTCGGCTATATTTATTTTTTTTGAGATAAAAAGTATATAATCAAACATTTGAATACTTCAAAAGGTCTATTGAAAAAAAAATATATATATTTGTTTAATATGTACTTGTATGTAGTACCATATTTACCATTAGACATGGTAGGCTGCTGCCTATGGTCTTTGTTATTAAAGGTTTCAAATTTATATATATAATTTAGAATTTTATCATTAGTAGAAGCTACCATTTTAATCTTGCTTCAAAACTTTTATATCAGGTTCTGCTTGTATGCTTATATTATTATTATTTAAAATTCTCTTAAAAAGTAATTAATTTTATATTAGTTATTTAAAAAAGTTGTCAAAATTACTTATTATTCAATGCAGTTTTGAAATAAATAATTCCTTCTAATATTTAAATTTAGGAAGCGTCAGATTTATAACAGAGCCTAGCGACATTATTACATCAGCAGGAAAAACAGTTCGGCTTGATTGTGAAGCAAAGTTTGATAGTGTTGTTACACATCCACAAATAAGATGGAGAAATCCTGATGGAGAAAATTTTGATTTTATTGGAGACACACACAGGTACTTTTATATTCTAGGTTTTTAAAATTGTTTTATATTTTTTAACCATTTTTATAAATTTTACATATACATTTTTTTAATTGTTAAAAAACAATTATATTATGTGTCTTAACAATCTTGTAGATCTGTGTTAAGTAATGGTTCATTACTTATTAAAAATATATTTAACAATGATGAAAAAGAGGCATCTGAAGGATTTGAAGCATATCAATGTGTTGCGTTTGTTGATAATATTGGTTCAGCTGTTAGTCGTACAGCAACTATTACTCTTGCTCGTAAGTACAATACCTTCTAAAAAATTTTACATATATATTTTATTTTAATTATAAAATACATGTACTTATATTTTTATTTTTATTTCTTTAGGATTATCTCCTTTTGAAAAACAGCCTATAAATCTTAAACTGTCTCCTGGACAAACTGCATATTTTTCATGTGTTATTAACTCTCAACCATCACCTAGAATTGTTTGGCTTAAAGATCATTCACCATTAATAGTGGATGATTCCCGCATGACAATATTCCCATCAGGTATGATTTTTTGTTGTCCCTAAATTTCATTGGTATATAATATTACTTTTTTCATTTTTATTAGGATCGTTGGAAATTGATGATGTGCATAAAGGAGATGCTGGGTCATATCGATGTAATGTCACTGGATTAGATAGGCATAGACTTAGTGATCCTGGTGTTTTAATAGTTGAAGACAATGAAGGTAAAGTTTTTAGTAATTTTTTTTTAGTATTTTACAAAACTAAAAATAATATAATTTTTTTTTTTTTAATAAATACACAGACCTTCTAAAAAGATCAAAGGCTCCTGAATTTGTGGCTAAACCACATTCAACAATAGCTTTAGAAGGATCTGTAATTACATTAGATTGTGCAGCAGTTGGTAACCCTAGACCACAAATTTCATGGTTAAAAGATGGAACTACAATTGATGTTTCGTAAGATTTTATTATATTTTTATTTAAAAATTCTTGTATGATTATTAAATAAAAAAAACTCCAAAACAGTATATTTTGAAAATAAGTTTTAAAATTAGGGTTCAAAGTAAGTTTTGATACATATAATCAAAAAATTTTAATAATACAAAACTTTGTAACCTTTAAATTGAAGACTTGAAATCAATTATGTGATAAGTGTCAAAATGTTTATTAAGCAATATTATGGTATGTATACAATTTCCATTTTACAATGATTGTAAAATGTTTGAATATCAGTTTTAATTCTAATAATTAAGTGGTAAATCTAGAGTTTAGGATGAAGTTGCAATGGTATTTTTATGGAGTTTGAGAGATTAGTCCTTGCACCAGCTGGCTTGTTATTCATTATTATTTAGTCAGTTTGAAAAATATCAAATAAAAAACAAGCCTGCTCCACATTTAACATTAGTATGGTCATGTTTAAAAGGTTATAAATGAGAAGAAGGCATAAAAAATATTCATTTGAAAAATTATTATGGAAAGTTACAACCATTTTTTTATTCAGATTAAAAAAATCGGAATAAAAAAATAAAATACACAACAAAAAAAAATTAATATTATTATATATTTGATTAGCATTACTAATAGAGGGATATATGCCTCCATGTCCTCCTATGTCTCCACTAAATACGACAATGAACATTAGGATACAAAGATGAACAGTTTACATATGGTATTGTAGTTATACATAAGAGTTATACATTTTAATTAGCCCCTCTAAATTTTATCTACCATGTGTAATTATTTTCATTTTCATTAGTCTTTATCATTTAGTATACTTATCAATAGTAACATAAAAGTTTGGTCTCTTCATAAATTTTACTTACACACTGATTTCTTGTCTTTTGTTTAAAATATGACAAATTTACTAATGAAACTTTTATAAAAAATAAGTATTGTTTTTTTTTTTTATTTTAATAGCAATCTTAATCTTAATTAATTACACTGTTGCTATAAATAAAATTATAAATTATAAAATTTCTTAGGTATTTAGACAGCCGTTTCAGAATAATAGGAACAGGTGGTCTTCAAATTGCCCAAGTAAATAAGAAAGATGATGGAAATTATGTTTGTCGAGCTGAAAACCATGAAGATTCTACTGATGTTTCTGCTACACTTGAAGTTCAAAGTAATTACAACTTTAACAAACTGTCAAAAAAAATTTATTTTAACTCATAATTCTTTTGTTAGGCAAACCAATTTTTATTCGTAAACCTAAAGATACTATGGTTCTTGAAAAAGAAGATGTTACATTAGAATGTGATGTAGAAGGGAAGCCCACTCCACGAATCATATGGTTAAAAAATGGAGATAGAATAAAACAAGACGAATATCTCCAATTTGTTAAAGGGTTAGTATTTCTTTGTATCATTCGATTTTAGTTAAAGCTTAATAACAACACATGAATAAATAACTAAATAGCATAAACATTATGTATAAAACTGTGAATATTGGAATATTATAAATTATTAAACTAAATAATTAAATAAAATTATTATTTTTAAAAGTATTATTCATACTATTGAGTGTTTTTTATTTTACTTTTGTGCTTACAGTACAAACCTTAAAATACTTGGCTTAATGACAATGGATACTGGTATGTTTCAATGTTTAGCATCAAATCCAGCTGGAAATATTCAAGCTTCAGCTTTTTTAAATGTTCTTCATGCAGGTAAAATTTATTTTTTCATATATTGTACTATGAGGGCAATACATAAAATTTCATGATGTATGATATTTTAGTATAATTTAATATAGTTTGTTATTTTTTATATAACAATGAGATGTGTTTAGAAAATAACAGGAATTTTCGTTTTTTGAAAAAAATATTAATTGGTCCTACATTAATGTTGTTGCCTTCAATAAAGTCCCCATTAGATATTATGAACTTGTGCCAACGCTTCTTCCAATCCTCCAAACACTTCTCAAACTTAATCTGTAAGAAGTCTTCAGCTCATTCAGTGATGTGCTTTTAATGTCGTCTATGCTTGTAAAATGAGTTCTCAAGAAAAAGTTCTCTCTATTTTCGGAAATAGTAAAAAGCCCATGTCTGGCAAATACGGGTATCGTTACAGTATTGATTTTGACCAAAAATTCACGAATAAGCAATGAAATGTGTGCATGTGTATTATCATGGTGCAAAAGCCATGAATTGTTTTACCACAAATCTAGGCGTTTTTTTCGGATTGCTTCACTTAAATGGCATTGAACTTGTAGGTAGTACTCCTTATTGACTGTTTGACCTCGTGGTAAGAATTCATTATGTACAATGCCATTAAAATCAAGGAACACAGTAAGCATAACCGTCACGTTCAATTGCACTGTTGAGCCTTATTCAGTTTTGGTGATCCAGAACACCGCCACTGGGACGATTGAGCCTCACTTTCGACTTCGTATCCATAAACCTATGTTTTGTCACCTGTAGCATACATTTCAGTAATTCTGCATCGTCGTTGACTTCATTAAGTGACTCCTGGGCAACTTCCATTAGACGCTTTTTTTTTTCAAAATTTTGGAACAAATTTTGCTGCTACGCGTTTAATACCCAAAACATTCGAAAAAATTTCATGGTATGGCCAATCGTTCATAACCATTTCTTTCACTTTTTCCACATTTTCGTTGGTTGTTGATGTGCTGGAGCGTCTGGGGCATTTTTCATCTTCAACATCTTTACGCCCATCTTGAAAATATTTATACCACTCATAAACTATTGTTTTACTCATGGAAAACTCATTATAGGCCTTTGTTAATATTTCACATTTTTTGTTACACTCTATTTCATTTTTTATGCAAAATTTGATACAAATTTTTTTATTCTTTTTTTTAACAAACTAAAATTGCTGAGCTCATAAAAATACGTCTAACATTATCTACTGACAATGTAAACAATGAATCCAGCTGAAAATTTTATTATATTTCAGAGACATGTGTACCAACATTATTAAAATATTTTTTTGATAAATGGATTCTCCAAACCTGCAAAATTTAAAAATTCCCATTATTTGCTGAAATAATGCATACAATAAAAACACCTCGTATGCATACTATTTTTATAAAATTTTATTTGAGCATATTGTTATGTGCACTGTTACAAAAAATTAAACCATTTATTAAAGAAAATTAAAACTATTTACAAAATAAAAGATGTATACAAATAAACTGTGTAATAACTGGCGAAAAACTACTTTATCCAAACTCATCAAGCCAAATTCTAGCAATGTTAGTATATTTTACATGAAACAATTCGCTTAGTTTTTCTTACTTCAGTATTTTTGTTTCTTTATAAGATAAACTTTTGTAATTTAAAACAGATTTCATGACTTAGAACATTGTAAAAAAATTAATACATACTGTTAAATCATTTCAATATAGGAAAATTTCAGTTTTTATTTTTGTTACTGACTGACTGACTCATCAAATTTATAGATTACTTCCTGTATCGATAGAAATGTAAAATTCGACACAAAGGCGGGTCTTAGTGCAAATAAAGGGAAACATTTATCTTCTCAAAATAAATGGTCTTATAAGCAGTACCATAATTGTATGGTGCTAGAGATTACCAGTCTTGCTACTATAAGATATTTCATAAGCAATATTGCTCTATTTTTCATATTTCTCAACACTTGGCTAAGTAATGTCTTAGTTCTCTTTTAGGAATTATATTAAAAGGAAAAAATCGAAAGAAAAAGGTTCAGATCTCCTAATCATTTAGAATTGCAGAAAAATCTGTTTCATACCTCATTTAAAAATTGGTCAAATATTAAGTAATACGAATAAAAGAACAATGTTGCTCATGAAAGTATAATGTAATTTTATGATATAAAGTAATATCAAATCGACTACAATGTAGATATTACTACTTTGATGGACAAACATTTTACATAGTTAGGTTTTTATTGAAGATTTAATTATCTCATAAGAGATTGCTCTCGTAGCTGAGGATAATTCCCCTTATATAGGAGAAATATCTAGAAGCGTCATAATAACGACACGCGGTACTGTTACTAATTTACGTGTTAACTGTCATATGCACACATATAAAACTCAATTTGTGGGCAGGCCATCCTTTACCGCTCTTAACATACACAACAAGTGTTTATGCATGATAAACTGATCACTGTATAATATAATATATATGTTAATATTTTATATTTTTTGAATAATTTGAAATTTATTGTACTTTCATTTCATTTTAAAAGCAAATGCAATCATATCTTTCTTTTTTAAGTATTTTCATTTAACACTCAAAAATTTTAGGGAATTATATTAATTTTTACCATTTATTATATATAAATTTTATTTTTAGTTTTTTTTATTTTGCATTTTACATATATTTTTTTGTAGTTAATGTTTATTTTTATTTTTGCTTGTGTTTGTTTTTTTGTATATAGACTCTTTACTTAGCACCAACTCATCCTTAAATATAAATAATGATACTATCAACTCATTATCTATAGCTGAAAAACCAAAGGATTCAAAGATAAATCTTCCATCAGCACCCAGATCATTAGAAGTAAAATCAGTATCAACTAGATTTGCAACATTAACTTGGACTAACCCTATAAAATCAAATGGAGATATCCTCACATATACAGTTTTTTACCAGCAAGAAGGATCTGATAGGTTTGTATAATTTTCTACAATTAGCTATTATTTAAGTGTATATTTTGAAATAATGGTTTGAAAAAATTGATTTTACTTTTCATTAGAGAGAGAATGACTAACACGTCTTTAACCGAAATTACAATTACGAACTTGCTACCAGACAAACATTATTTATTTAGAATAACTGCTATTAATGAGTATGGGATTGGAGAAAGTTCACCTCGTTTAAAAGTTTTAACAAAACCAGAGGTAAACTTACCTGGACCTCCTTTGAATGTGACAGTGATCCCTACATCTTCTTCCTCTATATTTGTGTCTTGGGCTAAACCAGAACAAGGAGCTGAAACAATAAAGGAATACAAATTATTTTATATTGAAGTAAAATTTTCATAAACTAAATTTTATTATAAACATTTTAATTATAAAATTATATTTGCATAATATTAGGATTATTCTACTGAAGAAAAATTTGTTATTACCAAACATTCTGATTATGAGATCACAAATCTTAAAATTTTTACAAAATATAAAGTCTGGGTTGTTGCGTATAATCAAAATGGACAAGGTCCTAGCTCTTTAGAAGTTAATGTGACGACAACATCTTCATCACCATCTAAACCACCACAAGATGTTATGGTGGAAGCTGTTTCTGATACAGTAATATGAATAAAATATTTTTGATTTTTAGATTTAAAAACTTAAGTTAAACACAAAATTGAAAACTGGCTAATCCACATATTTTTACTGAGACTTAATGTAGAATAATAATTATTCGTAGGAAATTTCTATTAAATGGGTACCACCACCCAAATTGAGTCAAAATGGAGTAATAACTGGCTATAAAATAAGGTATAGAAAACGAGATAAAAAGTCTTTTGGAGACACCATAACAACAGCTGGAGATCGTACTAGTTATCAAATTTCTAATTTAGATAAAAATTCGGTGAGTAAATTTTAAAATAACTATTTAAATTAAATAATCTATTTATATAGTAAAATTAAAAAAAATTCATTTTTATATAAATATTCAAATTAGAAAAATGATAGCTTATAATATTAGATTTAACTTATGTTACTGAGCAATCTAAAATTATATATTTATTGTATAAATTATCATTTATATTTGTTGATTAAAAATAACCTTTTTTTTAAATATACTTTTGATTTTATTTATTGAAGAAAGTTGTAGAATTTTCTGTATAAATTTATTTATAATTAAATGACAAATAATGAATTAATATAAAAAAAAGTATTTTAATGTATTAATTAAACATAACATTTAAACATAGTTGGTTTCTTATTTACTGTAGCATAATTTATTATTTCTGTTGGTTTCTATTGATTCAATATTACCAAGGTAGCAAAGAGAATAAATGTATTTCACTATTAGAAAATTAAAATAGTATATGGAAAAAAGAAAGGAATCAATAAAAGTTAAAAAAAACTATCAAAATAGAAAAAAATTCTATTTACCAATAGGAGCATGGAAGATATCAAATAGTTCTAATGAGCTTGAAGCAGCTAATAATAACCGAAATAAAGTTGAATGTCCAATATGTTATTCTGTGCAATATCCAACATCACATACATGCCCACTTGGTCATATTGTGTGCTATAAATGTTTTAAAACAATGAAAAAAGTAGCTAAAACACGTATATGTCCTTTATGCCGATCTTCACCTATCAAGATATCTGAACACTCATCAATACTCAATGAAACTCTTAAATATAATGATGTGACATGTCGTTACCATGATTTAGGATGCTGTGTTTTGGTACGCTTAGCAAATCTTGGACAACATGAAGCACATTGCATTCATAAACCAGTTTATTGTGTGTATCCTGGATGTAAATGGACTAATTCAATTTGTGATAAACTATGTGAACATGTATTTGAAAAACATCCAGAGATAATAGCCAAAACATCAGCAAATGTTAGTTATTTAATGTATTTAATAATCGTTCATTTCTCTAGTTTTTTAAAAACTAATTACATATCAATTACAATTCAGAAATTTCGAATCTTATAAAAACTATTTAATAAAAAAAAAACTTATTAAGTTATTATGTGCTTTAGTCATATACAATTGAAGAACTACAGTCAGTTAATTTTATTAGAAATCGTAAAATTGTGATGATCAAAACTTCCGATAATTTATTATTTTGGGTGATATTAACGAAATATTTAAAACACAAAGAATGTAAAATAGGAGCAGTTATGGCAAGGACAAATAAAATGAACTTAAGTCATGACTTTGATCCAACTGGACAGAAGTTTATTGTTGAATTCAAAGATGGTGCATGTAATTTTGCAGAATCTCGACATTTACTATGGGATACAACTATAATAAACGGAGAATTTTACTTACATATGAAACGATTTGTACCCATTCCATTTTATACTACAACAAGAGTTTCCATAAGCATATTATCAAGTTTATAAAAAACTATTTTAATAATATACTCTATAATTGAGTTTTTATTTAAGAGAGAGGATTAGTTCTAAAATATTTTATCATACATGTTTAAATTATTATCAATATACATATGATCTACTATCAACATTTTATGGAAAAATAATCCAAAAATGTTGCTTATTGTGTAATTAATGCATCACCTAAAAATATTTGATATACACATGAGGTTCAAAAGTAAAGTTTTAAATATTAAGCTTTATACAAAATTTCTTTTGAAGGATCTGAAAGATAAAATTTTTTGTTTTATTGATTTTTGTATTAATTTTTAATTAAAATTTAAGTTTAAATTAATTGTTTAATGATTTATTTTAAAAACTTTAAGGGCATTGAGATATGTCTCAAACTTGATTAAATTGGCTGAATTTTTTTCTTAGTGTTTCATCTTCATGAAGTTAATTTTTGGAGTGTTTTATTTAAACTACTTTATTTAAAATAAAAAAGTATACCAATTGTATGCTTTTTAGTATATAGTATTTTTTAACTGCTAATGGCAAGTCATTTTAATTTCACTCGTCTGTGACATATGAAACAAGGCCACATGTAATTGAGTAAAATTGGTAGCAATGCATTTTATTATATAGTGTTCAGTAAGTAAGGAAATAGATTTCTATTGTTCTCATTGTTTGTAACAATTGATATGTTTCCTTACTGAACCCCTGTATATTTAATTATTTTCATATTGTAGAATTGAAAAACTTTATCATCTATAGTTTAAAGGAACCTTAAAACTTAATTATATCTAAGTCTGAAATTTTATTTTTAATCATTCTATATTGATATATAATTATAAAAATATATCAATGGTATTTATAAAAAGAGAAGATGAAGATAAAGAATAGGTTAAGCATAAGTAACAAAATATAAATGGGATTTAAGAAATCACAAAATAACAATTCATCATTTTTAAATTTAAGTTTTAAAATATAATTACTTTTTCATTTTTCTGTTTCCAAAAATGTCAACAAAAATATAGTGATTATACCATTCTGTTGTGAAATATTATTATGTTCATAATGCAATTATTACTAATGATTTTTTTTTTTTTGTATTAATATAATATTGTAACCCTAGAGTACAAGCAATTTCTAAAAATACATTAATAACTCTATAATGGCACAACTCAAAAATTGTGGTATTTTGGTATGATTGGAATAAGTTCAAAATTGTGTACATAAAGAATGAAATAAATAAAACATATCTCAATCTAAGAAGTTTGACTCAATTAAATTATCATAAGTAATGTATCATATAACGCAATTGAAATGGAAATTTAAAATTTTGAAGTCAATCATCTCATAATTACATTTTTTGAGTTGTCCCCAGTGTATTCTAGAGTTGCGATATATTCATTTTAAATATAAAGGTGCTAATTAAAAAAAAATAATTTGTTATATTTTTTCCAACTAATTAATAAAAATATTGAAGCTGAAAAGAATTTTGAGTCTTCACGTAGTACTAAACATTTTTTACAATATTTTTATAGGTATACCAAGTTCGTTTATGGACTTTAAATACTGAAGGAATTAGTCCACCAACGGATTGGTTAACTGTTGAAACATTTGAAAGTAACCTCAGGGAAAATACTGTTCCTGATCCACCAGAGAATTTTAAAGGCAATAAATGTTTTAATATTTTGTGTATATTATTATAATTATGATAAATTTGAATTAAATTTTTCATCATAGTGCGAGCATATTCAAACTCATTGGTAGTTACATGGTCACCACCTAAAGAAAAAGCAATTATGGTAAGAAAGTATACACTATCTTGGGGTAAAGGCATTCCAGACGTTTATGTTGAAGATTTGGGTCCTAAAACTCGACAATATGAAATTAAGGGCTTAGGTAAATCAAAAAGTATTATGTATAAAGTTTAATTTTCATAAAACTAAAATTGTTTAGAATCTAATGCTGATTATGTTTTGAGTCTTGCTGCTAGTAATGAAATGGGTGTCAGTCCAATAGTTTATCAAATGGCTAGCACAAGGGACCATAATATTAATACATTAGAAACAAATAATCTTATTCCACCTATTGGATTAAAAGCTAATGTTATATCTCCAAATGCCATTGAAGTGTCATGGACTGATAATTCTCTCCTTGATTTTGATGTAATTTTTAATTTTTAATGTAAATTTTTAATTTTTTAACATGCATTAGTTAATTAATTTAATTTATTACAGTCTAATGTTAATGATGAACGTTTGTATATTATTCGTTATAATGCTTATGCTCCTGGTAATGAAAAATATAAATATTCAAATACCACTGATTTGTCATGCATTATCAACGATTTAAAACCAAATACACAGTATGAATTTACTGTTAAATTAGTGAAAGTAAAATTATAATATTGAAGCATTTTTTTTTCTAATAAAAATAATTATTTAACTTCAAAACATATTTAAAGGGCCAATTTGAAAGTGAGTGGAGTATGCTAGTATCAAATAATACCAAAGAAGCCAAACCAGCTTCTCCTCCTAGAGATTTAACAGCTATTAAAATTGATGACAAGCCTCAAATGATAACTTTAAATTGGCAACCACCAAAATATTCAAATGGACAAATTGTTGGTATGTATTTTTATTTATTTCATTGAATGTATGATTAATTTTTTCAATGTTAATTATTTTTTTTAGCTTATATTGTATTGTATTCTATTGATGAAAAAAGTCCTGACTCTGATTGGGTGTCTGAAACTATTGAAGGTGACTTAATGTCGTACACTATTAAAGGACTAACGCCCAATACAAACTATTTTTTCAAAATTCAATCAAAAAATTCTGTAGGTTATGGTCCATTTAGTACAACTATCAATATAAAAACACTATCAGGTATATCATAAATTTTATTTTTTAAATAAATTAAAATATATTTAAAGTTTTATTGCTAACTATTATTTTACATGAAAAAAATATTGTGTATAAACTATTTCTATTTCTTCAGCTACTTTTTATTTTGTGTTCGAGTTAATATTTATTGTTTAATAATATTTTATTATTTTCTTGTTTATAATTTTTAGTTCTTTACAAATCTATATAAATAATTAAGGTTTAGTCATAGGAAAGGTACCTAATCAAAAAAAAAAATTCTAGCTGTTGTTGAACACCTGGAAGATGTGAAATATCAAACTTATTTTCTATAGAAAAATATGTATTAAACAATTTTTTATTAAGGAACAAGTTCCTATAAATGACGTTTTTTTCAATAATTTTTTATGAAAAATTGAAAGCATTTATTGTCATTTGGAAAATTTGGTAATTTTGTGGGTAAAAAAAAACAAAAAAGCTCATCAAAGTTGACTCCTTGGGTTTGTGCTGTGCAACGCCCAGGTCCTTGTAATGATCTGTAATCAATGGGTAATATTTTTTCAGAGAAATATTGCTTTGCATGAACCTAAAATTAGCAAAAAAACGAGTTAAAAATAAAAGTTAGAGGATACAAAAAACCTTTCTTTGCATAAACAAATTGTTAATAACAATATTTATATAATAATATTATAACATTATTATAAATTAATAACAATTATAAATTAATATTATAACAATTAAATTGAAAATTTAGGTTCATGCTAAAGCCAATGAGTTAAGAATATTTGTACAAAATTTGAAGTCGATCACTTCATTATTTTTTGTGTTAAAATGCTCAGAGAGGTAAAAAAATGTGTTTGAGAAAAATATGTTTAAAGTTTTTGTTAGTGTAAAATTAATTTTATAGTTAGCTTACTTACAATAAATGACCATGACAACAAGAAATGACCCCTATTATTCAAAAATTGAATTAGCAAACTAGTTTGTTGGGCCCAAATATAAAATGTATGAGGCCATAAAAAGTGCGAAAATTCTTTTAATTAATTAAATAGAGAGAACAACAACTGCTTACACTATAGGTATATAATTTTAGTGTGGTGAGAGAGAATGTGGATTGAAAAGTTAAGCAGAAAGAGAATATTCAGGCCAATAGCTAGTCTGACCCACCATCATTAGATGTTTCACAAAAAAAATATCAATTTTTTTTTGTAATAAACGTTATTCAAATTCTAATAGTCTGATAAAAAAATGAAGTAAAACTTCTATACAGAATAGGAGTAAGCTGAAAACATAAAGACATTTTTTTTTGTGTTACAAATCGACACTAGTAGTTTTTTCTTATCCTAAAAAATTTAGTGTTTAGTACCTTTTCCATTTATTGCTTTAATTAATTTCTATTAAAAAAATAAAATAAAATGAATTTCCTCCATTTTGAAACTAGTTAATCAAATTAACTGTAAAATTTAACTATAAACAATTGAATTTTTTTTAGCAACAAATGTACATAACAGTGATGGAACATCTTTAAAAGGTTAGTAAATAATTTTTACTTTTACATAGATAAGTAATTTAACATATTTTTAGATGGAAAAAGTGGTATCAACAATACTACTATTTTATATATACTGATTGCTTGTTGTTTGCTTCTGATATCATGTATTGGCATTGGAATTGTTTTATTGTGTTGCAAACAAGACCGACCTATTAATAATAGAAGTAAAAAAGGGTAAATTATCTCTTTGATTAATTAATTAGTATTATGGAATTTTTTAACTTATACTTTTGTTTTGTTTATGTCAAATAGATATATTAAAGGCTCAACTGGTAAAGCCATAAAAGCAGCACAATCTCCGAACTTAAAACCACCAGATTTGTGGATACATCATGATCAGATGGAGTTAAAATCAATTGAAAAATCTTCTCAAGGTTCACTTGATACAAGTTCTGGTTGTGGCCAAGGTAGTACCAACACATATGATGGTACTGATACTCGTGTCACAATTCACCATGTACCACATTCTACCAATTCGTTAGACAAAAGTAACTACGTTTCTTCTTATGTAGGTAAGTATGTTTTTATATCATCAAAAAGTACTTGAAGCATGTATATTTTTGGTATACTTAAACTAAAAAAATTTCTGTACCCCGTAGGTAAATACAATGTCAACAAATCATAATTACATAGTTATAATATCATAGTTATACAATGTTTAAAATCTATAATATTTAACCTCTAATTGGTGAACATGACTTCATTATAGCTAAATATTGTACTTTATTCTTCTTCTTAGAGTAAAAAATATGCATAAANTATTCTTCTTCTTAGAGTAAAAAATATGCATAAACATAGGACAATTTAATTTTATGAGAATTAGTCATGCTTTTCTTATCTTTAGGGGTACCAATATTGTTAAGTATAAAGTTTGTTGCTAGCTACCTGTTGGTAACCGTTATATGCTTGATTATCTTTTTTACATTGTTAAAATGTTAAATGTATAGAGAGAAGTTTTCCTCTTTTTTTTTTAATGTGGTATTTTTTGTATTAAAATATGTGAAATGATATGTGTATTCTAAAATCAGAAGATATAAAATTACAGTCCATGTATTAGCTTCAATGCGAAGTTGAGAAAGTATTAATTTTACTATGATATGTTTTTTTTTGTGTGTCTGTTACCACTTTTTCTCAGCTCTCACCGAATCAATTTTTTCAATGATACGCCAAATTATATCTAGTCAAAGACATTACCCTCAAAAATTTAAAAAAATTCCCTCGTTTCCCTTAAATAGGGGAAACCTCCAAAAAAATTACAAATTTAAAAATTACTAATTTTTTCAATTTTTTTATTTAAAACTGCTATAACTTTATCAAAAATGACCAAATTAATATAATTTTTTTTTATTGATGCATTATATCTTTACTTATCATTTGGTATATTTTTTTTTATAAATCTGACCCTTTACCTGCCTACAGGGAGGATTCAAAATGACAACTCTTTCACAAAAAATTAGCTTTTTTAACTTAACTTTCGAAAGTGTTCCGGAAAGTCTGACACTTATATATTAAATTAAAGCTAATGTAATATACTTTATCATGGAAAAAAAAAATGTCAGACTTTATTTTGTCTTCATAGTGAAAATAGTTAGCGTATGCTATTTTTGTGTTAAAATTCTCATTTTTATTTTTTACATTTTTAACTTTATAATGCTATAACTTTTTGAAAAATGTATGGATCAATAAAATTTTATTATAAGAAATAATATTTATATACCTCTTTCATTCGAAATTTTTTTTTTTTTAAATCTGACCATTTACATTAATACAGGGGGGGTGCATAACTTAAAAATTCATATAGGAAGTAGAATTTTTTCAACTTAATTTTTGAAAGTTTTCTAGAAATACTGACACTTTTATATATATCTTAAATTAAAGCTTATGTTATATACTTTAATATTAAAAAAAAAAAAATGTCTGACTTTATTTTGTCTTCATGGTGAAAAAGTTAATAAAAAAATATGATTTTTGTAAAAAAATTCTTTTTTACATTTTTAACTTTATAATGCTATAACTTTTTGAAAAGTGTATGGATCAATACAATTTTTTTATGAGAAATAATATTTATATACCTCTTTCATTCGACATACTTTATCTTAATCAGGATATAAATACGGAAATGGGAGATCATGTAGCTTTTGGAATAATTCATCAATTTTAAAAAATTAAATACTCTCTACAGATTTGCATCGAAGCGTTTTTTATGATAATGATATTAATCACTGTCAGATATCATTATACTTGACCTAACTATGCCATGTACCCATTGTGCTGGATTTTTTTTATTTTATAATCATAAATAATTACTAACATATATTATCTGAATATTCACGAAAAATTTAATGATTTATGCATGTATAAATATGCTTTTATCATTTTATGATCTGTCACATTATGGTTTTAAAAATTGACTCTTCATAAAATATATTTCGATTTTTATTTGTTAAATTATTAGATACTTAAATTTTCCTTTTTTTTTCATTTTTAGCATGTCATTTTTGCATGAATATATTATTTAAGTTTTTTTAAATTAGGTAACTCATTAATGCAACCTTTATTATCAGAAGAAAGAATGTCTACATTAAAACGTTCTAAACCTAAACCTGTTGTTTTACCTATTGATGCATTTGATTCTATTTATAATGATAGTAAGTTATTTTATTTTTATCTCACTTATTTAGCCCCTATTGTTCGTTTAGATTACACTGTTCTATGTGTGTAAACTATGTCTATATATTGTTTAATATTATTAATATTTAATCATATATATTTTTTACTGTATAGCTATGTCAACATTATCTAGTCATGAATCTCGTTCTCCATATCCTAGATCTCAGTATGCAACAACAAGAGCTCATGTTACAGTTGATTTAACAGCTGGTAACAATTGAACATTATAAATAAAGGACTAAGTGGATAAAAGTTTTAAATAATATTTCAATAAAATTAAACTTATTATAAAAATAATATAATTTTAATATAATAAATATTTAAAAAATTGAAGTGTTTGCAGAGAGTAGGTAGTTTCATTTTTAGGACATTTGGGAGTGAATATATATCTTATGTTGTGTAAATAGTAACTCTTTTAATTGAAGCTAAAAATATTCATCTGCATTGATAAGTTGTTAAGTTATATTATGAATATAATTACAAGTGACTTTGTGTATTATGAAATTTTGTAACTTTATTTACAATTTTTCTAAAATTATAAATAATTTTATACATGTAAATATATAGATAAATATAGATTTATCAGAAAAAAATGGAAATGATATTTTATCCACTCAATCTTTCTACTGTATTAATTTGTTATATTTATTTTTTGTAAAGATAAATCTTAATCATAAATATTATGTAAATAGGTGCCCCAGAAAACAATTATATTGTCCAAGCTACAACTATTCCAGAAAAGTATGAATCTATACCAGTAACATCTACATCCAGTATTCAACAGCATACGTAAGTTAAAATTTTTATTTATTAGTGCAATATATTTTGTGTAATTTGTTACTTTAGTGGCTCATTAAATACGAGTGAAAAAAGGCAGCAAGGACATCCTTTGAAAAGTTTTAGTGTACCAGCTCCTCCTCCACAGTCTGCACCATCAACTCCTCAACAAAAACATATAGGTATCATTAAATATTACATTATTATAAATTACTTATTAATTACTTAACAGTATGTATTCCTATCTATTAAGATACATTATAATTTAGTATAGATTAATTAAAATGACCTAATTCATGCCCACAAGCCTAGAAAAACTAGAAAAAAGTAGAGTATTTCAAAATAAACTAGGTTAATCATGAAAATGTAAAGAATTTAAATCATTTTGCCTTGAATATTTAATTTGGTTATACTTATCATATATTTTTAATTTATTTTTTAGAAATTTCTAATTATAAGTTTATTTTGAGGCTAAATACGGTAATAGATTAAAAAAATGTTTTTGGATTTCATTTTTCTACCTATTTCAAAATTAAAAATGATGTGGTATTCAACGAAATTACACTACTATCCATAAATAATTTGTATATTTATTCTTACTATCAGAAGTGAATTTTTTAATAATGTTTGGAAAAATCTGGGAATTTGAAAATTATCTATCATGTATATTTAACAAATACTACATTAATTAATAACAAACAAATCTGATTACAAATTGCTTTTCATCATTTTATTAGCTAATACATTAATAAATTATAGTTTAATGTTTCTCAATTAAATTTATTATATATACTATTTGAGAATGTAAACATTTTTTATAATTAGGAAATTTTACTTAAATTGTTAAAGCATGAACCAATTTTTATATTAAACTACTGTTTGCATGTATACTACTAGTTACAGTAAGACCTCAAGGCTCATCTAGTCCATACAAGAAACCTATTACTTATTCAACAGTTAATAGTTCACCAACAAACACAGCATTATTAAGTGGTCAAAAAATATGGAAACCACAAATAAATAATTCTAATTCCAACGATCTTGGACCAGAAGTTGAATCCCTCAGTAAAATTCAGGTTACTAACAATTTTATGAATTTTATATTGTAGTTTTAAGTTTTAATAAAAATATTTTTTAAACTCTTATTTTGTTTAAGCTTTTATTGACCACTTTTTTAGAACTATATTTATAGTTTTCATAATTCTTTTTTAGACATCATATAGCACAGAAGAATTAAATCAAGAAATGGCTAACCTAGAAGGTTTAATGAAAGATCTGAGTGCAATTACTGCATCTGAATTCCAATGCTAGATTTAAATATCATACTATTTGACTATTATTTTTGGTGACCATTATTATAAAAATAACTTGTGTATTTATCTTCAAATTTAATATTCGTTAAGACTGACCTCTAATAAAAACAAGAGAACTTAATTATTAAACTTGGTGTTCAATTTTTATTTTATTAATAAAATTTTTCTATGTATATGTTCTTAAAAATATATTTTTTCATCAGTATATTCAATCTTTCTTTGTTAAAAGTTGAAAAGACATTTGAATTCTTAAAGATTTAAATATTTTTTATTATNAATCTTTCTTTGTTAAAAGTTGAAAAGACATTTGAATTCTTAAAGATTTAAATATTTTTTATTATTTCAATTAATAATTTTCAGTATTTATTTTTCCAATTAGTATTATATTAATAATATACCTTAAGGTTTTTTTTGTACAGTTTGTACTTGTATTATAATTTTCCAAGTATATAATCTTTTCTTGTTCAACTTTTTTAGTTTATTTAGGATATTTTCTATTTATTATAATATCTACTCTATACATTTTTTAAGAACCTTTACCAACATAATTTTGGATAATAAATTCTTTGATCAAATTATAATTAATGATAAATTGTTAAAACTATTAAAAACTATTTTTTTTTTTTATAATTTAAGATAAGTATAATATTAATATTCATTAAGTATAAAGATTATTTTATGTTGTTCAAATTAAATAAAAATAAAAAAACAAAAATAAAATTGAGATAATGATAACTATTTGACTTTGAATATATACCATAAATAGAATAATATAATAGCATAACCTTTTAGAGCTTTATTCTCTGTATTTTCAAGGGTTTATTTTCAAATAACTATTTATTAAAATTACACTGTTAATGAATGCACCTATTTTTCAAAATTAAGTTATTAATTTAGATAAAAATCAAAATGTATTAACTAGTCAATTAATGATATTAATATCTCAATTTAACATTGAATATATTAATTTTTTTTGTAATAATATGATTTATATTTATTTACAAATTATAAATAAAAATATATAAAATAATTCATAGTTAAGATGTACAAATTGTAACATTTTATGGTTTTTAATAATAGTTTAAATAACTTAGAATAAATGGTGTGGTATATTTGTAGTTAAATATATGTATTGCTTATATTTATCAATACAAAATGATTGCCATAGTGATGATATTTTTTTCATATATTTGTAAATATGTTTAGAATAATGTAAAAGATGTTTTCCAATTTATATTATATTTCATTTTGGTCGACATTTGACTGATATAAAATATCTACATATTCTAGATTAAAAGTATTCATTTGTAAAGAATAAAATGTACAAATTATAATTTAGTCTCTTTAATATATATATATATATAAACTTATAAATTAAGAATCAAATTTATTGTACCGTGATATTTTTTTGTAATTTTTATAATGTTTCTTTTTGTATTTTTATAATTTAATCCATTAATTTAATATTATATTTTATTGAAAATATATACATCACATTTTAAAAATAATATAAGTATTTTATTGATTTATGAACCCTAGCAAAACAGTATCATTAATATTGATTATTAACATATTGTTACTAAATTAAAAATTGCAACTTTATTTAAAAAAAAAATCTCAAGTAATAAAATGTATTTTAAACCTTAAATTTATACATCATATTAATAATACTTTTATACTCAAGTTGTAAAACTTAACTTATATTTTTACTATGAAAAACTCATATTTTTTTAATTTGCATTTCTTTTTTAATTTGCATCATAGTATTTTATTTTTATTAACGATTAGTATTAAAGCAACATAAGTGAATCCTATTTTATACTTTAATTTTTTATGTTATTTAAAAAAAAATTATTTTTACACTTTATGTTATATCCAAAATGTATATAGTAAGTAGTTCCTTTTTTCTTTTGTATCTTATTCGTATTATTAATTTATCATAAGTTTTTTAACATTTTTTTATAATAAACAATTTCTAATCAATTTGTCTAGTTATTTTTAAAAATGTTTAACCTTTGAATTTATTAACAAGGTGTAAGTATAATCTATTTCCAATACTTAATAATTTTTGCTGTATTTTATTATATTTTATCATTTAATTAGGTATCATATAATATATATGAAATAGGTATCATAGTGTGCAAATAATTACTGATATTAATTTAAGTCATTTAAACTCTTTCTCACTTCTGAGGAGCACATTTATGGTGGGCTAAAAGAATTCGAGGATATACTCCTCCAAATTTTATGTAACACAATTTTTTTACTGAATATGATCATTTTAGAAGAAAAAAATAATGTACAATCAAAAATAATAAATTAAGTAACTAATTAAGTCCAGATTTATATGCATTTATAAACTTTATTGATCTATTAAAATAGGACTCAAATTTGTGCTAATTTGTTGTTGGAATTTACAGTAGTATAGAAATATTTTGTTTTCGAGAGGAATAGATACCTCCAGTACTATAACCTTAGATAGACCATATTAATAAGTTTTCAAACCTATTAATACAAGTTTGTACTGATTGATGATGTGTTACGTATAATTAAAAAAAAATATATTTGCAAAAATTGAAATGTATGTGAATAAATCTGGCAGTTATTATAGTTAGACTTACGCTAGTTTTTTTTATTAATTTTTACACGAAAAATCTCAAAGGGCGCATTGAACATCTTAGGACCCTTTGTCTCTCCTATAAATTTAGTACAGGGGTTGGCAATTAGTTTTATTCAAAGGTAGATAGTTTCACAAAAAAAAAAAAATGTTGAGACGTAGAAACAAAAAATGATTAAATTACTCAATGAATTTGTAATGCTATTAACTTTATGTTAGATATATATTTATATATATAATATTATACAGTACAAATAACAAGTGTAATTTATTAAGTATACTAATAAATCACATTGTATATTATTATATGGAAAAATAATCATGAAAATAAAATACTTTTGACAACTATTTATTTCCTATCTGCAAGATATATTTCATTCAGGGGGGTGCAGATCCTTGATTTACTAATTTAGTCAGTGTTGTAACAACTGCTATAAAGTGTATGTCAGCATACAGTTTCTGATGAAATTTAAAATTTTAGTACCAGGAATTTATGAGAATTAACGATATCATCAAATATCATTATTCGCATATTGAATAATGTTGGTGGCCACCGAAAATGGCAAATGTGACTATGAATGCCTTATCGAGTGTCTGAACGTATATGATCACGTACATTAGTACTCATAAGTTCCTGGTACTAAATGTTAACATTTATTACAAAATACCAATGTACTTCCTCGGTACTTATGAATTCCTAGTACGAAACTTTTATTTTTTATTTTGAAATGAGTGGTACGGAAGTGTAATTAAGATTTTTGAAAACTTATCTTTATAGTGGAGCGTAACTAGACCCAAGCACAAGTGGCGTTCGCAGATTTCTTTAAGGGAATGTCACACTTATTACACCCCTTATTAGGACGGCTCAAAGAGGCTTACGGGCCAAAAGCGCGTGAGTTTTGTAAGGCCTTAGGTCTGAGACGGAGCGCCAGCTAGACCAAGTCTAGTATTACTATGATATATTATTGTATGATTATTTACGATGTAAAATTTTTTTTTGTTGGTTTTTTAGCTTAAATACAAAGCTGAAAATTCAGCTTTGAATTCAAAAATTGAAAAAATTTCCCTGTAATTTGGAGAAATCTCCAAAAAAATTACAATTTTCAAAATCAGAAAAATTTCGATTTTAATTGTTGTCGGTGGAAAACATCCCGCCCGCAAAGTCCAAACAAATCACTGTGAATCCATACCGGTCCTTGTTCCAACACTCTTTGCAAAACTCTTTGAATTCTCCGAATTTCATATGGCAACACACGTATTCATCGCACGGGTGCCGTACATTAACTTCATCCTGCCTGAACAATACCACCATATTTGTGTTGTCGCGTAACATTTGTTTTTTAACTTCCACATACTACACCTAATACTGTTTGACAAAAATTTTTACGCCGGCTGTCGACCTGACGCAACCTCATTAGTCACCTTTTACGACTGGCAGAGGGGCCGTGGAAGTATTCTTATCCTCTATCCACAGGGAACTAATACAAAACGTAATATTTTTTAAATTAACTTAACGAATAAAAAGAATACACCTAAAAGTTTTTACAACCTATGGTTCGGACAACTATAACGAGTTTTAATATATTGACTATATTTAACTATAATTCTATTATATAGTTTTCCAACAGGATTGATCCCTAAATTAACTAAAACTTTAAAAAATGTTCTCAGTGTATGAAATAAAGTAAAATTTAGTTTAAAGATTAAAGATTACTGTTAACACGCATTATATAATAAATAATAATTATATTTTATAATATAATACGTTAATAATAAAAAATATCTATTAACTTGTTTAGACTTGAAAATATTAGCAATTATTAAATTTTGTAATAAAAAGAAAAGCGATTTTAGGATGGGGGGAAAGTGGAAGGGTTGTAAGTTATATGGATTGGTGTGAATTCATTCATATCGTCTTAATCCTACCTCTTACCCACTCTATCCTATTTCTTAATATTGTAATAAACAAAAAAAAAAAGACGGTAGAAAGGAAGATAGAAAGTGGGGTGAAAGAAATGAGGAAGATAAAGATGAAGTGGTATCTCGGGGTCGAACTTTATTTATTTATTAAATAATAAAATATCCCTACCTCATTTATTCCTATTTTTGTTTATTACGTGATTTTTTTAGAAGTAAGACATGTAAATAAATATTCGCACTTACCTTTATTTCCTTTAGTAATTGACTGAGTTGGTTTCATGGTGATTTCTTCTTTCAGTATAAACAGTCGTTTATACTGTCTTGCGTTTATTTCGATTAATTAGTATCTCTATGTATATAAGACTTATAAAAGGGGATTCTCTACAATGGGACCTGCGTATATTATAATTTGTCACCTTTTTGTTTCCTTTAAATTCCTTTTTTATATTATACTATGTTTTTACTAATAATATTTTCGATGAATTTCCTACAGTCGATATCGATATTCTTAAAATTTACTCTGAACTAGCCAAAATATAATTATAAGAATATGTCTATCTATATTCAAAATATAATTAACAAGACTGTGGTGGCCCAGCGTTTCTCAGCGTAAAGCCTTGGCTGGCGCGGACACAGTTACCTCGTTAATATATTTAAAATATTATTTCAATACACCTTTTACTATCCTTTACGTCAACTGCCTA